TCAGGCGTATCGCTGGTGCAGGCTGCTGAACAGGCTTAATGGGTGTGTGTTTGTGTGTGTGTGTGTCTGAATCCCTGTAGGAGGTTTTTTGGCCCTTTGGCTTTTCCATTTTAATACCTGCATGCTATTTGTTAAGCCAGTATTGCTCATCTGGATAAGTTAACTGATAATTAAGAATGACATTGGTTGTTGTAGGTTTTCTGGGCTGTTTGGCCCTGTTCTGGAGGTTTTCTTCCTAACATTTCACCAGTCTCTGCGTCCGGCACCTTCAGAGGACAGGCCGTGAAAGCTTTTGAGAAGATAGAGGATGAAACTTCTGGAGAGCTGAGTGGCTTAGGCCTCTGGCTGTGGAGCTGGAGGTGGGGAGTTCGATCCCCCCTCTGGGGCTCCTTGAGAGGGGCTGGACTTGAGGATCCAGAGGGTGCCCCTTCCAGATCCACCGTTCAAAGGTTATTATTGCTATTAATTCCATAGAGAAACAAGCAGTAAAATAAAACGAATGGGAAAAGAAAGGTAAGACCAGAAGGACTTCTTGGCCACAGAACCTGGGGGACTGAATGTGAAATGAAGACGTCAAGGTATCCCCTCACAGTCCTCTCTCCTGAAATGTGAAAGCCCCTTCCTGACCCCTTCCCACCCCCAAGAATCTCCTCATATGGATATAAGGTAGTAGCAGTGCATGTCTTTAGAATGAAAGAGGTAAGAGATGTATGGCTGAGATTTCAGCCGAGGCAAGTCCAGAACCGACCAGGAATTTGTGCCTATCAGTAACATTCCTCCCGCCCGACTGTGTTTGCACAGCCCTGCTTGGGGTTGGAGCAGGATTGGGCAACTGATGCAGATGAGAAGATGTGACGACTTCCCACTGTCCATTGAGGGTCACAGCTGGATGGAAGAGATAGGCTTGCCCGCTGCTGCAGGGCAGATGTGGTTTTCCATCTCCCTTCTGAGTTTGGAAAAGATGAAATGGGGAAGGGATCCTACTTCAGAATTAACTCACTCACCCGTTTTTTCCTTACAGGTGTTTGTTTTTTCCGAACCAAGTGCCTTTTTTTTTAGTGTGCAGTGTTTCTTTTCCTTGATAAACCCCAGCCATCCAGAACCTCCTTAGCTGCATTCACCAAGTGCCTGTTACTTAATTTAAGGTGAATTCTGCTGATTTCATTAAATCAAACAAGACTGTTTCTCCACACAAGAAATGCTTCTTCTGAAATGATGCCTCCTGCCACATTCCTGTGCATTATCTCGAGGCATCATCATAACTGTGCTTCCTGCTGCTGATGTCCTTGTGCTCACATGCAGATCTAATCAGTTGACCCAACTCGGTTGATTGATCCAAACGTCTTTGATAAGGTTGCAACTTTGCCTGGTTTCCTTTCCAGCCCATGGACAGCCTTTGGGGTTATCATCACCCCTGCTGCTCTGTAGGGTTGTTTTGGAAAAGGGAACGCCACAGGTATGCCCTGCGGGGAGGGAAAACCATTCTTTTTTCTCAAGAAGCCAGGTGTTCTGTAGCCTACCAGTTGTGTTCACTTTTTATTCATTGTGTTGTTGCATTTTTACCATGGGGAAAGCTTTGGACCTGCGCAGGAGGCGCTGCTCATAGAGCCAGAGTTGATGATGGTAGGAGCGGAAACCCTACGTCATCTCTTCCTAAAGAATACAAGAACAAGGTCTAAAAACTGAAGCGAAAACTGCAGAGAAAGAAGATTGCATAACTTCTGCAGGTGTCTCAGCTAAATTTAAACCAGCCCCTTCTTCACTTAAATGGCTGTAATTTTCCTTCCGAGGGTGATCATGCATCTGAAGGGAAAGCCTGTTGTTTTATTTTCATTTTCTCTGCAGTTTCTGGAAAAGTTGAGCTTGACCGTGTTTCGGGAAAAGAAATGGGAAATTCCTGGTTGGTTCATAGCCAAGCCCTCCGGCCTCAGGGCCTGCACGCCTTTCTCCCTGCCCTCCGGCCACTCCCGGCTGCCACCGGCGTCCCTCCAAGAGGCTGGTGGCCTTTCTGTTGGCTATGAGCACATAGGCTGGCGGTTGGCCACGGCCAAGACATGGGCCGTTGGGTGGGTGGGTGGCCAAGCCGCCCGCTGGAGCAAGGCCTGCCCTCCTGGTGGGACTTGGCTGAGCAGGAGGGAGGGGGCGAGTGGGAGGGTTGAAGCTGCTGGCGGGTCTTTTCTGTTAAGTGTTTGCCAGCTGCTCTTTCGCCACAAGCTGCACCTTTCTGTGCACAACTGAACAAGCGGCGGCTGGTTCCCAGGGCCTTTTCTGAGGGATTCTTAAGCTTGGACTGGGAGAGCTGGGAAGCGATTTTGCCCTACAGCCTTGGGCTCTCTTCCTGAATTGGAGGCGGCTTGGTTAAACTTGGGCAGGCGCTGGCTCTTCCCGTGTGTGCCTCAAAATGCCGACGTCCACCCCCAGAGCTGTCCTCCACGGAAAAGCCCTGCAGCCAAGCAAGGGTTGTGGAGGCCCAAGAGCCGGGGGTCTTGGGACGCTTGGCAGCCATTATGGGGGGCTTTTGCTTCTCCTCCACAAGCCACAGCCCTTTAGGTGCCCAAATCCTCTTGGCCCAAACGGCCTTTTGAGTCTGGAGGTGAAGCCCTTCTGGGAGTCCTCACGCCTTTGAGTTTGGTTGGTCAGGAGCCCCCCCCTTTCAGGGCAAATGAGACACATGGCTATAACAGGAGGTGAACAATGCCCCATACCTGAATAATGTAATAGGAATAATCATCCACTGTCAAGTCAGTTCTGAGTGATGGCAACCCTTTCCAGAGAGAAAGCACACAATTCCCTTCCTCTGGGGGGGGGGACCCTGGGACTCTGCCCCTCACCCAAGGCCACCCAGGCTGGCTCCCCCCCTCGCCCTCCCCAGGGAACACGATGCTGTATCAGACTCCCCACCTCTGGCTCTACAGCTGCATACCTAAACCCACTGAGCTATCCAGCCAGCAATTCGAATGATTAGGTGTAGTTCCTTCAAAAATTAGCTGGCAGAAAAGTTCACAAAGGCAAAACCATCAAACTGCTTCAGGTGGGTTGAGTGGCTGAGTGGTTCATCTCATGCAAACCGAACTCATTTTTTTTTATTTTCGGAAGCCTTCTGATATGATCAGTTTGTTTTGGAAACCTCAGTTTCTCCTGGCTGATGAGGGACATTTTATGCAGTAATAATTCTGGTAAAACAATCTGTCATCTGCCAAGGGAAATTCCCCCCCCCCCCCCCCGTCTGTTACAGCTCTTGGTTTTCCTGTCTGTTTGTCTTACAAATGTTGGCATGCCTGGAAGATGAGACATCTTTGAGCTCCTGGCTCAGTTTTCTTCCTAAATATGATCCTGGGGGGTTATGGGCTTCCTGTCCTGAGCTAGGGGTGCTGTGGGTTTTCTCCTGGCAAGGATCCTGGCTGTATTCCCGCCTCAGATTCAGGATAACTGGAATCCTACAGGGTGTCCATCCAACCACGGGTGGCTCAGGAAATTATGGCCGGGTTTCCTTCTCTGGCGCCTCGGGAGCCCTAAAAACAGGAAGGTCCCGGCAGGCACCCGTTTGGAGAAGGCTTTTCCTGCAGGGTTCTGGGCTGAGCTCCAGCAGGGAGGAGGAGGAGGAGGAGGAAGAGGAGGAGGTGAGGAAGAGGCCCTAAACAGCCCAGGCACCCCACCCGCCTGCCCCTTTGAGCTGGGGGGGGCTGGCTGAGGGGGTCGGTCCTGATCTCCATCCTGGCTTGGTTGGGCCCCTAACTTGTCTCTCCTCGGCATGACTGCATGAAAATCGATGGACGAGTGACGGGGGACGATGCACTGATCCTGAGTATGACATTCAGTCTGTGCAAGGCAGGTGCTGTTCTCATGGGTTCTGCTTGACACCAGAAGGGAATCGTTCGGAATGAACGAAAGGGTCCAGGCAGGATGACAAGACACTCCGTTGCTTAGCTCTCCAGAGAGGCTTCAAGCACAGGCGTCTGAATGAGAAGGGGAGACGGCGGAGTTAGCTCCGGTCAGAGCTTCGCTGGGAAATGTTTTCCTTGAGAGCAACCCTATGACACAGAAACGGAGGTGGCCAGAGTGCCTCTGAGGCTGTGCAGAGTGTTCCTTTCTCGCCAAGCATTCCCCAGAAGCGGGAACGAAGGAGAAAGGCCTCGGTCTGGGTTGCCCGCTGAGCCTCCGGAAGGGCTTCCGGGAGGCTTGGCCCTTCTCAGGGGCCCTCAATCCCGGCCGGCCTCGTGGCCCTGCAGGGACGGGCATCGTTCTTTCTACAGGCGCCAGCCAGGGCTGCTTCCACCTGCCTCGGCTGTCCCTCTGCGGCTGTTTCCCTTGGATTGCGATGGCATGAGGTCACCTTTGGAACAGGCGCTCGTGTCTTCCTGTGTGGGTGGAAACTTTGTGCTCAGCCCTCTCTCCCCGGGACGGGGGTTGGTCGGCTGCCCGGGCGGCCTGGGTCCGGCTGTCTCCTCTGAGCAGATGTGTTTTGCGAGCCTGGGCCCAAGACGGGTGTGTGTGTGTGTGTGATCCCGGCCTCTTCCAAGACCTGCTTGGAGATGTCTTTCTGACGATGGCCTGTCTCCCTCCACCCACCCATGCACCCTTTTGCCTGCCCTTCCTTGGTGAAGGAGAGCCAAGATTTCCCTTCACAAACTGCAGGAAGTTTCATTAAAGGAAGGAAAAGAGAGCAAAAAAAGTCTTGCGGCATCTAGAAGACTGGGCTAAGTTTATTTAGCATCCGGTTTCAGGATCGTAGCCCATGCCTGCAGTTTTGAAGTCACAGAATCCTTGAACTGTCAAGCTGGAGGGACCCCCCCAGAAGTGATCCAGATCCCTGCCAAAGCATCCCTTAAAGGGTGGGTGTCTAACCTCTGCTTAAAAGCCTCCCACAGAAATCCTTGCTCCTCTTCCCATTAGAGGGTGCAGATAAAGGGAAAGAAAAGTTGAACAGGTTAAAGACCAATCAGATTCATAAGGGCAGAAACTTTTGTGAGCCCTGCTGGATGCATGGGGCCTTACTCTGAAGTGGGCAGATCCTGTGAACTCTTCTTGCTTGGAGAAAGCCACACACTCGCCTCTTTGCCTGGACAGCTGATGGTGACCCTCTCCTGACCTGGTGTAACCTCATTATCTTGCAAACTGGCTCACCAAGATAGACCATTGAAATCCGTAGACTTGTTGATTCAAAGGGCCGGTGGTCTTGCAACACGCTGTGAGAGGGTTGCAATGAGCGCCGGTGTAGCCTCACCTCAGTCCTGGTCCCTCTGTAGTCTAATCAGCTTCCCTCCGCCCCCCCAACCCGAAGGGGAAGACGGAGTCTGGAAGGAGGAAATGATCGTCTCTCTGGTATGAATAAGGGTCAGCAAAGGGCGCATTGCTCAGAACAGCGAGCCAACCCGGGTGGGAACAGACCTTCTCTGCTCCTTCAGCCTGTGGGGTTTGGAAGGAAGGCACTGCATTTGGGAAGCCTCAGCGATCCAGACAAGGGACCCCCTCAAGAACAGGGCCAGGGAGCCGTTTGGCCTGCCTTCATGTGTAAATCACAGGTTCTGATGAGCCAAGACGGGTTTGGGAGTCTTCTGTCTGGTGAGTTTCTTCCGATTTGGGCTTCGTCCTCCCCACGCTTTCTTTAAAGGGGGAGTCTGGAGCCGTTTGCTGCTGGATAGCTTTTGGTTTGGTTTGACTTGGATGGCTGTCACACAGGCACCCCACTGAGAGGGTGCTGGGAGCGAGACCCCGATGGGCAGTCTGGCTTACGTGAAGCTTGCTGCCTCCTTTTGTGAAAAAGGGCTGCTTTCTCGCTTTCCAGAATGGTTTGCAGCTGTTGTTTCCTTGAAAAACAGCTTCTGTTATTCTGTGGATCTGCAGGGCAGGGGGAACAGAGGACAGCTGGTTTGAGCCCCCCCTTGGCCACACAAAAAAGGGCTGCCACCCCTCCCCAAAACACAAAAGTGCTGGAGTTACCCCCTGTATAACCTGGTGTGTGTTTCTGTCTGTATGGTTTTGTGCACGAAAACAGAATGTGTGGATCCAGCGCTTGCAAATGCACACCATCTGATCTCTGTGCTGTTTCTATGTTTTACCCTCTCTCTTCCCTGTGTTAATTCTTTCACACACATGTGCGGTCCCGGAGCTGGCAAACTCCCCCTCCTTTTTCATTTTACAGAAAGTACTTTTGTATGTGTCTTTTGAACAATAAATACTGTACATGGAAGGCAACATCCAGAAACGATCTTCTGCCCTCACTGTGGGAAGCCCTTCCCTTGGAGGCTTGACTGGCACCAACAGGGGCATTGACTGGGTCAGCACCAGGTCAAAACCTGCTTATTCTTCTTCGTGGTCTCTGTGAATGCGCACAATTGAGACTAAGAGAGGGAGATATGTTCGTCCACCTCGATGTTCACCCTCTGTATCACCCTCACCACTTTGACGTTGACATTGGTCTCCTTCTGCATTCGTTCGTTCGTTTAGTCGTGTCTGACTCTTCGTGACCCCATGGACCAGAGCACGCCAGGCCCTCATGTCTTCCACTGCCTCCCGGAGTTGTGTCAAATTCATGTTGGTTGCTTTGCAGACACTGTCCAGCCAGCTCATCCTCGGTCGTCCCCTTCTCCTATTGCCGTCGCACTTTCCTAACATCAAGGTCTTTTCCAAGGAGTCTTCTCTTCTCATGAGATGGCCAAAGTATTGGAGCCTCAGCTTCAGGATCTGTCCTTCCAGTGAGCACTCGGGGTTGATTTCCTTTAAAATTGATAGGTTTGTTCTCCTTGCAGTCCAGGGGGTTCTCAAGAGCCTCCTCCAGCACCACAATTCAAAGGCATCAATTCTTCGGTGGTCAGTTTTCCAGCATTCACTTCCATACATCACAACAGGAAAAACCATAGCTTTGACTATTCGGACTTTCGTTGGCAAGGTGATGTCTCTGCTTTTTAAGATGCTGTCAAGATTTGTCATCGCTTTCCTCCCAAGAAGCAGGCGTCTTTTAATTTCGTGGCTGCTGTCTCCATCTGCAGTGATCACGGAGCCCAGGAAGATAAAATCTGGGCTCCAAGCAGACAGTGGACAGAACAAGCCACTGTCTTCAACATCATTGTCCTCATCTTCTCGTGGACAGGTTTTGGGAAGCCTCTGCAGGGCAGGGAGAGGTTCTGGAAGCCAAAATCTGAAGAGGCCCTTTTCCGTCTCCCTTCCCTTCCCTGAAGTGCTTTGCGTGCCTCTTTATAGCCCTGGGTGGTTGGGTGCAAAAACAATCCATGTTCCAACAGGGCAGGGAAAAAGACGGATTTCTTTTCCTGCCCCCGGCCCTGCCCCACATCCAGGACTTTTTGCAACAGCAGGAAGGAAGGAAATGGCTTGCTATGAGTTTGCATTCCCACTGCGGATGTGAAGCCGAGTTCACCAGGATCCCAGGCCACACCTCGCTTTCCTTGCTATTTGGGAGAGGAGAGGAGGGGAGACCTGCCTGCTCGGCTGTGGAATCTCTGCTGAGAACCCCTTGTTTTCTTGTCCTTCTTGTCTTCTCCCTAGTCTTCATTCCATCATAGTGGAACTGCTTATATATATATATATATACACCAGTATATATTGACAAGAACAGAGCTGGCCCTTCACATCTCCTGGTGATCTCAGATGTGAAGGGCCAGCTCTGTTCTTTACTTGTGGTCTCTACAGAAGGGTTTCATGGGGATAAGGCTAGGGTGAGAGATGGGAGCAAGGCTGTTTGTTTTTTTTAAATCCAGGACTTCCTACATATACCCCCCTCCTTTTTTTAAAAAAAAGACGTGATTTGCTGTTTACTGATTTTCTAGAATTCTCCAGCATTTGCCGTTCACTTTCAAAACAGGTCCAGCTTGCCTTGTGCCATTTAATCTCTTTCTAACACCGATGGTTCAATACCAGGTGACTTCCAGGTTGACTTCCTATTCTTGGAGATTTGTGTGTAGCTCTCATGGAGGGTCAGGAAGACAGAAAAGTCACCTCTTTAATTATAACCTTTGGATACGTTATCGGTTCTGAGGCCAGGGTTGTAGGTGGAGTGTTACTCCATAAGATTAAGACACTGGCAATATTTTCATTAAAGCAGGGTGTTTTTTTTTTATGGATCACTAATCTGGACTTAATGCTTAGGAAAACCAGAACATAGCATAGTGTTAACATGCAACATTTCTGTTTCAACCAGGATTGTGAAAAAAAAATCATTTCCTTTACTTATGAAACCACAGTGGAGGAGCGACTGGTTACACTGATTAAAATGTATTATGGCTGTCGATAACCAGATGCAACCACTGCTGGATCTGGCCTTCTCTGGTCAAATCAGTTAATCATCAGCAGAAGCCAGCTTTCCTTGTCTTTTTCCGTGCCGGTTCTGAGCATTCACCACGATTGCAAAACTGCGTCTACGATGCAGGTGGAAACAGGTTCTTGATGGCAGAGGTCGCTGGGAGCAGCACGGGCCGCGACCATGAAGACCTCCAACTGCATGTTTCTCCCCATAGGCACAGGGCCACAGAGTCTCATTTTTGTGTGACCACGAGTGATGCAGAAGGAAGCAGCCCATTCATTTAGGGGCCCAGCCCTGGTTTGGCCCTTCCCAGCCCTGCCTCCTTCGGTGGTCACCCGCTTAGAGGCAGCACCCACTGGGCACGTCCTCTGAGGGGGCGCCCACCAAAGGATGCAGGGCTGGGAAGGGCCAAACACACGTCCAGCTGATAAACGAACCGGCGCGAACCGCCAAACCGGGAGCTTGTATCAATCGCTAGTCAAGACCATTTGGCAAAGCCTGGAAGCCGGCCGCACCTCCTCATTTCTGCCTGTTTGTTTTGTTCCAGAAGCCGAGGCTAAGAAAGCATGTGCCTGGTTGCGTGCAGCTGGATTTCCTCAGTATGCCCAGCTTTACGAAGGTAAGTCGGTCTCCGGCATGTCGTTCTTCACATCTGGGACAGGCAGCTGACCTGCCCTTCTGGGTTGCAAAAACTCAGGGGTTGGGTTTGCACCCTCTCCCAGCAGATTTTTGCACACTCTGTGTTCTGCCGCCAGGATGAAGCCCCACTCCCTTCACACTCAGTACCGCTCTGAGATTTAAGCTTTCTCCACCGCTATGTTTTGCAAACAGGCCTGGCCCCCAAGCACCAGCTCTCCTGGCCGAGGTTTGTTTACCCCCAAATATAGGAGAGGTGGTTGCCTTTCTAGGGATGGAGGGATGAAGGTGAGGAATGAATGGAAGCTTGAGCTCCCTCTCACACCAGGAAAGGGGAGGTGGGTCCGGGAGAAATAAGAGGAAGCGGCCAACGCCGGATGGCGGCCAGCGATTCTCCAAACGGGACATTTCCAGACTCTTCCCTCCCCAAAGCGACTGCCATGGAGTGAAGGTGTGGGTGGATGGGGTGTGGCCAAAGTGGAAGACACCTCCAGAGATGGCTGCGTTTTCCAGGCCACGTTGGGCTTGCTGGAGTTTGTAACCTCCTGAGGTGACAGTTGAGAGGATGGGCAACCAAGAAACACTCAGATGAAGACATAAAGACTCCCCAAATTACAAGACCTACTTCAGCTGCTTAGTGACAAATTAAAAGTGTAGGTTGTTGCAGCTCATCCTGAAATACATGAGAAAAGAAGTGTTGGAAAGGAGAAACACTTTTTTCCTGAAAGAGTGGTTTGGATGTGGCCGGTTGCATTTATGGTATGGGTGCTAGGTTGGGTATGGGTGCCCCAATGCCTACAAGGACCCAATGCCTCACCCAACCTCACCACTGACCGCCAGCTTGGTTCTCCTGCAGCAGCAGACACACACACCGTTTCCCCCGACATCTCTCACTCCCCAGACTTCTAATTCCCCTCCTTCATCTTCTTCTTGCCCTCAGAGTCCCACTTCCCCCTTGACATCGCCTCTGTGAAGAAGGACCACAGCTTTTTGGACCGGGATTCTCTCAAATCCCTGTGCAGGTAAAATGGAGCCTTCCCTCCACCAAGGACAGGTGGGAAACTGGGACGAGGGTGGCGATGGGGGAAGGTGGGTTTGCAGGGAGGAGCATTCAGCCCCCCCCCCGTGGGTGCAAAGGGCCCACCTCTCTCTCAGGCAGAGTCCTTGGGGTTTCTGCCTACCCACGGCCACCCTCCCACTCAGCCCCTGTTTGCCTCCAAGCAGAGATGGGCACAGACCGCCCGTTCAGTGTTCCTGCCAGTTCATTTTTCAGCCAGACGGATGCTTGGGGCTTCAGAGGCCCGCCTCCTTGGGCAGGCGCCCACTCGGAGGCAGCGTCCTGGCTTCCCTGACCCGCCTCCTTCAGGTACGAGTGCGGAATGGGAACAGCCCCGCCTCCTTGGGCAGGCGCCCACTCAGAGGCAGCGTCCTGGCTTCCCTGACCCACCTCCTTCAGGTACGAGTGCGGAATGGGAAGCACTGGCCACCTGGTCGACCGAAAAACAAACCAGCTGACGAACTGGCAGTTGGTGCCCATCTCTGCTTCCAGCCCTGCTCCCCTTGGCATGTAAGATGATGTGATGATGGACAGTTGAAAGAAAGAGGAGGCACCGGGATGCAGACGAGGTGGGATTATAGCAAAACTGCCTCTGGTGCCCCAGGGAGCACAAAGAGACCTTCAATAATTTTTTTTAAGGGTTGAGAGAGGCTGCTTTTGAGCCCCTGGAGGCTGCCCTTTGTCTACTCCTGCTAAGCTTGCCCTCCGAGATCAGAGGGTCCCTCCTTGTGCACTGCTTGAAGCGTGACTCTCGCACCCCTGCCCTTGTGTTCCCGATCCAGGTCTGGGTGCTCAGACGTTCCCTCGGCAGGCCGTTCTTTTCCTTCCCTTTCTTGCTGCTTCCTTGGCCCAAATCAGAGATGGCCACCCCTTCCCTTTGGGGCAGCTGCTGGAGCCAGTGATGGGCAACAGAGTGCAGCTGCTTGGTTTCTTTCCAGCGGGGTGGGCAGTGGCCGGCCGGGCGTGGCTCTGGCATTTCCGTGGCATGCGCTAGTTTAGGACTGCGGCTCCTTTTTCCGTCGGTCCACTCGGTCATTTTTGCTCCCTTCCCTGGGAGGAGGGTTTGCTCCCACAGCACCCTCCCCACCCACTGCTTTTTCTATACTCAGAGCTACGGACGTGATGATTGCTGGAAAAAATGTTCTCCCCCATTTACCGTGTCTTGCTATGCCGAGACCTCCCCCAGATTTCCCAAGTTCTGGTCTCAATACTCCCCTTTATTTTGGGTTCCTCCTTCCTCCCGTTGCAACCTATGCAGGGAACTGCTGACTTTAGTGCCATTTAATCCCACTTAGGGAAGATGCCGCTTGGCACAAGGTTTGTAATAATCCTGCACAGTGTGGTCACAAAGCTTCACAGAAAGCCCAGGAGATTTCCTGCAAGAACTTGTGTCGAGGAACAGACCGAGAGGAGAAAACAGATGTTTTTTTCTCCCAGTTTCTCATAGAGAGGGTGAAGCTATGAGACCCACCTCTCTACCCAAGAGTGCTGTGGGGCCTCTGTGGGGCAAAATCCTCACCGGCGGTCTCCATTCAGCCTCATCGTTTACAACAGCCCATTAAGCCGACAACAGGTGGAAGACCCTTGGATTCAGAGCTCTGAAACGGATGTTTTACGTTGGGTTGACACTCAAGTTGGACTAAAAGAGCATTTTAAGGACTATTTTGAAGTGACCTGCCTTGGGAAAAAGTCTGAAAAATGTCAAAGTGAGCCCAGAGGTTCTAAGAAAGCTGGAACGATTTGCCACAGCTGTTCCTGACATTTGCTGTATAAACTTTACCGGGGACCTTTGGCATGCGGTAGTGTCCCTTGCCCCTTCTTACATGCCATGGGAGCTGGGAGGCTCCTACCCTGAAGCTGAATCTCTCCCTGCCGCCCCCCCACACACCAGGATCCTTGGACTACTCAGGCATGGAGAATGTTCTGTGCCCTTCCTTTGGTGTAACCATTTGGAAAAGTGCATGCTTCCTTCTTCCTCTTAAAAAATAAAAAGGTACAAAGTAATCTGCTTGCCTCTCTTTGCACCTCTGGCCAAGCAATCCAGAAGGGTCTCCCTTGCCAACGAGCAGGATAGGGCTATGAGTGAATCTTTCATTTCCATCAACAAGAGAATCACAGGTGCATCTGCTTGGCTTGATGGCGGAGGTGCTCCACGACTAAAGGATGACCGGGGGGAGTCCGCGTGGGTGGATAGAGGCCCTCGTTCTCTCCAGCTGCACCCTGAGGGCTCCCTCCTTGCTCTTGATCCAGCTGAGCGGGCTTTGGTTGAATCACCACTGTTGTGAGTCCCACAGACCTGCCAGGCATTTATTTTTATGGGAGAATGAGGTGTTCCCCTAGCCGACCTTGAGATTTTGGCATGGGAGGCTGAACTGTCTGCTGGACAGAGCCGTAACTAGGGTTGATCCTGGGTCCCAGAATTTGAATAGGTAACATGTGCCAATGAAGGGCATGAACTCACCAGCTTTGCGCATGCCCTCTCTCTTTTTTGGGGGGGTAGAAAGAAGCACACAATGCGCAGGCTCAGTGCAGAACCTTTTGTGCTCAGGTGCAGGGGCTGCCTGGGCTGCTTCATGCCGAAGCTTTTCAGCCAGAGACGGGCTTTCCCCCTCCTCTGCCGCCTGGCGCTTTTGAGCTGCCAGGGACTGGACTCGTAGCCTTGGCTGCTGACCTCTCAGGATCCTGAGTGCCCATCCGGTTTTCCATGTAGCTTTTGGTAGCTTTGTTAGGTGGTTCCTCGGCTGGCCTGGCAAAGGAATATGGCTCTTTGGAGGAGCCCCACCAAGATTTAACTAAAGTCCTTCTGAGGAGTGGACATCCTGGAGGTAGGAGGGTTTAGTATTTCCCTCCCTGCTTGGCTTTTGTTTCCCTTTTGATGATTGGCTTCCTTGGGCAAGGAGCTCAGCCAGCGAAGGAAGTGGAAGGGGATCGCGCTGCTCTCAGACAAAGGCCAAGACAAGGGGATTTAAGTTGGCCTTGCTGATCAGGGAAAGCCGATCATGTACCTCTTGGATGGAATGAACACCAAGGCCAAAAGCTGCTGGGCCTCCCCTCCTGCAGTTTTGGCACAGATCATTAAGCTGCGGGTCTTAGGAAGCTGTTCCCTCCTCTTTCCTTATATTTCCTCTTGCTGTTGCATGCTCAGTCCTCCCCCTCTTCCTCTCATACTTTGGAAATTCCTCTCTTCCTTTGGAAATCAAGTAGGTCATCCTTCTCCACCTCCCCCAGACACTGTTTGAACATCTCACACAGGTTAGGATTGTTCTTTTAGGATGGCGAATAATTTGATGGCACGCTATGACAACAGATTGACAGATTGATGTTTATACAAGTAACTTACAATATAGTAGACAAGCTGGAGGTCATAGATAAACCGTTGAGATGTGACATGTAAATAATTTGGTGGCATGTTATGACAACAGATTGGTTGATTGATGTTTATACAATATAGTAGACAAGCTGGAGATCATAGATAAACCGTTGAGATGTGACATGTTGTTACATCTTGTCACTTCCAAATTATTGTGATGCTGATGTGGTTTACTATTGCCACCAGCCGAGTGAGTTTCTGGGGCTGAGAGGGGCTTCGAGCGCAGATCTCCCGCTTCCTCATCTGACACTCTGTCCTCTTGCCAGCCATGATGCTTGAGAGATAAATATTGTGAAGGGAGGAGGAGCTGAAAGATAAGTTCAGGGCTGTGTTGCTTGCTTCCCTCTCTGGCCAAAGAAGTGGCTGTGGCAAAGAGGGACGGGGAGGCCCTCAGGAGCTACGGATCCCCACCTGAAAGCACGGGTGGCTGCTTGGCTTCTCCCTCCTCAGCCCCTTCCCTCCAGGGGCTCCCAGCTCCTGCAAGAGTGTTAGTGGCAGGGGTTCTGTGTGGCTGTCTGGCCAGGGGACGTGGAAAGCCATTGCTGGCTTTGTGTGAAAGCCCTGGCAGGCAGGCAGGCAGGAGCCCCTTGAAGCCGCTCGGGGCCCTCCACGCAGAGGTGGGCAGGAGCAAAGGACAAGCCCCTCCACCGGCTCATGCCTCCTCGCCCTGCGGCCGCACACGAGAGCGAGCGTGTAGAGTCTGGGTGTTCACTTGATCCCCAGCTGTTTGCGTGACAAGTGACAATTGCCTAAAACAAGAGCGGCTTGTTTTTAAATAGCCCGACGGAGCAAGCGCAGCCCTGTCCGCCCGAACGGGCCAAGCCAGACAAAAGCCTCTCTTGTTTGCTTGCAGGAGGCTCATGACCCTGAACTCCTGCGCCTCGATGAAGCTGGAAGTCCACTTTCAGCGGAAACAGGTAAGGGGGCTGGGTGTGGAGGGGAGGGGAAGGTGGGGAGGGTCGCCCCGAGATCAAAGCTGGTCCTGGGGTCGGAGGAGGAAGGAGCAGAAGCACGGACTGAGCCTGGGTCTTGCGCTGCAGAGCTGGGACGGTTTGCTCCCACTGGAACTGCCCCGGTGCCATCCGTGGGGGTTCAGTGGGGCAGTTTTTGGTTCTCTGCTAGAAGGGAAAGGTTCAACCACTTCTGAGGATTCTCTCCCTGGAAAATCCTGGAATATCACACACACACACAGAGAGAGGGAGAGAGAGAGAGATCCAGGGCAGCTTTTCTGAGCCAGTGCACCCCCAAACCACAGATCCCAGGATTCTGTAGGATGCAGCCTCGCCTGTTCAAGTGAAATCAAACTGTGGCCATTGTGTAGTATAGAAGCCTGAGCTCCCTCTCTCTTCTGCAGTTTTTTGTTTGGGGGGGGCACGAGCTCCTTCTTTTCCAAACCCCCATCACTTTCCTCTTCCTGCATGAGCTGCCACCCCTCGATTTTCAAGAGCAGCTTTTAGGAACAGGACGTGGAGAAGGGAATGGACTCCCCACCCCACCCCAACCCTGAAGAGCTTGAGCGCCCCATGCTGAGGGCCGGAAAGGGGCTGTTATCGGATAACCACCATGAGGCTTTCTTCTGGATCAGCCCCAGGCAGTTCGCTTTGCCAGCAGCTGGCGTTCAAGAACAGCGATGGCTGTTCTGCCTTTCTCCTCTACCGAGAAGCCAGACTTTAGATAGCCCTATAGTTACTGTCGGGCTGTCTATTTAGAAACTGTATGTCCTGCCTGAAAATGTAGCATGCAGGGTGGTTGACAATAATTTAGTACAGTATATAAAATACGATGAAAAAAGGGGGTGGCAGCTCGCACTTAGGCTAAACTCATAGCATAAAATCCACCAAGATGAATGGAAAACTCACCTAAACAACGTTATCTTAATCAGGTGGCAGAACCAGAAAAGCAAAGGAGATGAGTTCCACCTCTGGACAGGGCTGCAGAAATTCCATTTTTTTAATGCATCCCAGTAACCTCCAGGCAGAGAAGGGCCTCTTTGTCCTCCCTTCGGTTGCTACCTCTTGAATGTTGAGCCTGAATTCTAATCAGGGCTGCTCTGAGACGCCCCCCTGCCCCTGTTTGGGAGATGACAGAATCGTGGTCAGCGTGGAGGGAGTGTGTTTAGAAGTGACACTCCTTCTGGGGGACAAGAGCTTTTCTCCTTGCGGGCCAGAGAGAGAGTGTGTTGCTCCAGAAGGCTCCTCGGAGCTTTCTGTGCCTGCATCATTTGAAGAAGAGGCTTTCAGGAAATGAAAATTGTAACTATCCGCCCATCAAAGGAACATTGCTGTGGACCTGGGGGTAGGAGGGGGGTGGGAAGGATGGAGGTGTAAACCTCCATCTGGCCCCTGGGGAGGTCTCTCTGGACTCACCGATCAAGGACCGCCCGAGAGTGGCCCCTGCCCTCCAGGATCCTTCCTCCTGATTCTACCTGTGTGGGTCAATTCTGGGTACATCCCACCCGCATTTGAAGCATGGAGTCTGTAGGTCCCTGGACAGAGGATGCTCCCTTCTTGGAATCTGCAGACACTCCACAAAAGATGGAGAGCCATGAAATGCCTCCACTGTGAAGGTTCACGGAGGATTCCTTGCTTCCTGGCCAAGGGTTTTCCAGGCTGACTCTCTGTGACCTTCTGTGCCTGTTTCAGAATGAAGACTCTGAGGACGAAGACTTCTGCGCCATCAGCCACCAGTGGGCCTTCCAGAGGGACAGTAAAAGGTGGTCCCGGCTGGGCTCCCAGGACTTTCTCTCCTGCAGCCTGGAGCGCGACTCTGCCATGAGGAAAGAGCCCAGCCAGGAGAGCATCCTCACGGATCTCAGCACCGACCTGGAGGCGGCTTCGCTCCACAGCAATGCCAGCACCGGCAGCGCCAGGGGGACCCTCCACGCCATGGTCGCCCTGCCCGAGACGGCCTCGTCCCCAGCCTTCAGCAGCTCCGCCCAAAGCCTTGGGGACCCCTCGCCCGCCAACCGGTCTCCCAGCCTAAGTGGGAGCAGCAAGGAGAAACCCAAGAAGCGCCGGACTCGGAGTTTCCTCAAGAAGATCGAGTCTCTGAGGAGGAAAGACAAGGAGAAAGCAGACTCCGCTAAAGCCCGAGAGGACGATGGGGGGCAGGCCAAGTGGTGGCAGGACCCCTCAAAAGAAGCCAGGGACTCTGAATGTGGGAAGGCGTCTCCCCGCCTAAGGGGGGTCTCGTCTTCTTCCCACAGTGGTAAAACCCTCCCCTCCACGGAGAACCGGACTCACTGGCCGCTGGCCTCAGGGGAAGACAAGCGGCAGCCTGAGCCCAAACGTGCTGGCATTTATCTGGAGGACTACGAGGCCGCCCTGGGCCAAGGCGGCGGCTGGGATGCCAGAGGGCTGGGCTACCCGGATCCACTCCAGAGGGATTTCCTGATCCATATCCCTGGGGATTACAAGCCAGGCACTTTCCCCAAATCGCTCTCCATCGAAAGCTTGTGTCCCGTCGGGAGCGGCTCTTTGGCTGACTGGAGAGCCGGCCCCAGAGGCCCGGGGCCTCCAACGGCCAGGTTGGTCCCAGGCGGGGGTGGCCGCAGCAGTGGTGTGGACGACCCTTGCCCCCAGTCCTTGGCCTACCGACCGAGCAGGAGGGCGAGGCCCTTCTGCAGCCCAACGGGCAGCTGCGCCAGCCTCTACGACAACGTGCCGGACTTTGGCAGCGGGGACGACCTCTTCGACCTGGACGGCGAGACCATTTACGAGAACCTGGACGACGTCCTGGAGCACGTCTGGGGGTTGCAGCAGAAGGTGGAGCTGTGGTGCCGGGCGATCCGGGTGGACCTGGATGGGGAAAACCCCGAGGGCGAGGCGGGGGAGGAGGAGACGGACTCCGGAGGGGAACCGACCCTCCTGAACTTTGAGGAACAGTCTGTGTCGGACATCGGCACGTCGGCCAGCGACTTCGACAGCACCGCCAACTCTCTCAACGACATGGAAGACGTCGGGATGAGGGAACGGAGGGACTCTGGGGTGGGAGCGTCCCTCACCAGACCTTGCAGGTAGGCACAGAATCAGCCTGGGCGCCTCGGGTCCACAGGAGGCTGGGCTAAATGGGGCGTGTTAGTCTTCAAGGTGCCCGGGGACTCTCGGTGAGCAGCCTTTCTGTTCTGCCACTCCCGTGTTCAAAGAAGGCTCAGCTCGGTAAGGCCCACTTAGTGGTTCTGATCTTGGGCCTCAGGCGAGTATCCTGTTGGAGGAACCTCCAGCCGTAACGAGCCCTTGCGCCGGTGGTTCTGGTGTTACCAGAGCGGCATAAGCCTATATATATCCGGCAGAAGGGCCCTCCCTCCCTCCCTCCACCGTGTTGCACAACAGATGCCAGAGCTGGTTCACTTGTGCTCTCCAGCTGGCATTGCACAAGGTTCCACGCTCCAGTATCTTCACCTCCTGCTCCACACACATATGGTTGTGCTTCACATTTGCTAGCAGGACAAGAGTCTCAATATTTAACGTTCCGCTTGTGTTGCAGCAACATAATCCCTATACTTTGGTGCACCAACACATCCCCCTAATGGCAACTCTTTTGTATGTTTAATTCAAACCAATTAAGCCAACGGACATGGCCTTTTCAGTTCCTGTTGCCATCTACTATTTCTGCCACCAAGGCTGTGAATACATTAAGGCTAAAGTTGTATACTTTTGTTGTTGTTGTTGCATGAGTATCCTGGGCGGGCAACATGATGGGTTTCCTGTCCCAGACTGCTGGTATGTTCTGAGCATGAAATATTCCGAGTATCCTGGGCGGGCAATGTGATGGGTTTCCTATCCCAGAGTGCTGGTATGTTCTGAGCATGAAATATTCCTGCAGAGAGTTAGGACTGATGTTTTCATTTTGTTTATATATTGCTGTATTGATCTGCCTTCCTTTCTTCCACGTGACAAAGTTCGATCAAAATTTGACCACTGAGGTCAAGGTGGCATCTGTGGCTCCCCTCTTCCCACGTCCTCCTCAGAACAACCCTGCGAGGAAGGCCAGGCTGGGAGGAGTCACTAGCACAAGGTCAGCTGTTGGGCACAAAAGGTCTCGTTGGAACCTGAAAGATAAACCCGGATGATGCCTCCTGATGAGAACCAACTTGCCCCTTTCTCCTGAGTTGATCTCTGCAGTTTCCAGAGGTGTTATCCTGCCTGCCCCCCTCCAGTTCCACATGATGTGTCCAAGTGCATGCTTGAAACAAAACAACACCGGCGGCAGCAGCTATGATCCCTTGGTGAATTTCAGGGCCAGGCGAGGGTCTGAGCCCTTCTGGCGCCCGGGCCCTTGGAGGTCACGCCCAGCTCGGTGACTCAGAGCCTGGGTCGCCAGCCCTGCCAGCATGGGGGCCCATCAAGTGAAACGTCCCAGAACCGACATCCGCCCGCTGCCCTCGGGAGGCCCTCCCGCAGCAAGCACATTGTGCCCGGCCCCCTGCTGGTGCCGCCTTCTGCCAGCGGGTTCCTTTTAACTCGGTGCCAGAGCACAGCGCGCCAGGGGTGGGTGGCCCGTCAGGGCCCAGATGGTTGCTCACTGCTCTTGTCTGGTGGAAATCAGAAGACAGTCAGCGGTGACGTTGCACTGAGAGGATGCCCTCAGACGGCCTTGGGAAGGGAAACGCCAAAGTCCCAGGCCTGGCTTCTGACGCCCCCTCGTGAGCTGAACATGAAACAGCAGCCTCCCTCCTCGGGCCCCGACTGACTCTGAGACGCTACCCTGGCTTCCTTTTATATAAAAAAACCTTTGATTTAGTTATTTTGGGCCCCGACTGACTCTGAGATGATACCCTGGCTTCCTTTTATATATATAAAAAAACCTTTGCTTTAGTTATTATTTATTTTATTATTATTTATATTTTTTTATCCCACCCAACTAGTGGCAGAGCTGCTCCTCTGGCTGCCAAACAACTCACAATATTGCAAAATACAAACAGACCCCACTAAAAATGCATAAGCAGCAAGCAAGAAAGATAATATCCAAAAATAATGTCATCTTCCTTGATTCCTAACAGAGTATTGCACCGTTTAAATTTAAGGATGAATATGAAATTTTGGTAATTATCTACTCCAGCTGATCCCTGGAAGGCCCCCTTTGGGTGCGAAAAAGGCCGGCTGGGACTGGAAACCAGTAAAAGGCGCCTCGCGTTTCTCTCCCCGTAGGAAGCTCCGCTGGCACAGCTTTCAGAATTCCCACCGTCCCAGCTTGAACTCGGCCTCCCTCGAGATCAACCGCCAGTCGGCCGCCCGGCTCAATCTCCTCCAGAAGTGTTCCCTCCTTCGCCTCACGGCCATCATGGAAAAGTACTCCATGCCCCAGAAGCAGACGTGGGCCTGGTGAGTCCCGTGGGCCCGTTGGGGGGAGGTGGGTGGGAGGGGAAGAAGTCTTGGGCTTTGCCTCGTGGCGAGTCGAGGTCCTCCTTCCCTCCATCCACCGAGGGTGAGTTCTCTGCAGACAAGTTGGACGTTTTGGATGACTTAGAAAGAAGTGGACCAGTTTCCCATGGTTGACTCCACCCAACTTTGAGGGGCTTATATGTGATATAAGCCTTTATCATCATAGAATCCTAGAATAATGGAGCTGGAGGGGACCTCTAAGGCCATCGAGTCCAGCCCCCTGCTTCACGCAAGAACCCGAGTCAAAGCAGATCTGACAAATGGCTGGCCTTTTCTCTCTGAATTGCCATCTCAGACTTCTTGGCTTTCACAGACGGAAGGGAGGGGAGTTTATAGGTAAAGTGATTTTTTCTTCTTCCTTTCTCTCCCCATCCTTTACTCTGACAGGACTGTCCCTAAGTTCATGAAGAGGAGCAAGACCCCTGACTATAAGGGCAAGATGGTCTTCGGGGTGCCCCCGATTGTCAACGTGCAACGGACGGGGCAGCCCCTGCCCCAGAGCATCCAGCAGGCCATGCGCTACCTCCGGGGACAGTGCCTTGACCAGGTGAGGGTCGGAACATGCTCTTCTTTCCTAGAGGAACCAAGGGTAACGATAGTCTGTGATATAACATATTCATATATCCAGCCAAGCCTGGAGCTGCTGAACTGAAGCAGAAAGACTTTTCCCCTGGACCTGCCTGTAGCAAACTCTCCTTGACTGCATTGGTGTCATCAGGAATGTACGGTAGGACGCCCTTATCCATGGGATCAGAATCTGCTGATTCATTTATCCAGGAAAAAATATAGAAAAAACTATTTTCAGATGTATTACCAGAACATGCCACTAGAGAGACTGTGGTATGAATACTTGTTAGTGAAGAATACATAGTATGGTCTCTGGAGCCCCTAGTGACCAGTTCTGGTAATGCACGTGAAAAAATTTTTTTCTCTTTTTCTTCTTCCTTTTACCATGCTAAATGTAGCATATTAGCTATTACACGTGATTTTCAGTATCCATGGGGTTTTTTCTTGGCACTAATACCCAGCAGGGGTTAATTCCTACTGCATATGTAGGGGTGTGTGTTCCTAATGCATACGTTGCAGTGTTTGGATGAAGGCCTAAAATGTTTCAAGGCAAAACAGGACCATGTGCTCCATCACTGAGCTAGATGTCCACTCTCTCACTGTGTTGGTCCACTTGATATCTCCTCCCGAGGTCATGGGTTCCATCATCTTACTGCTCTAACACTTAGGAAGTATAGAGTAGGTACCCTTGTGGAATCCTTGTAATGTCGACTTGGAAGTAGCCCAAGCCCTTGCCAGGCAGGACATTCATAGCCCAAGAACCTCTGAGAGACGGGGCCCCAGTCCTTGTTTCATGTGCCTTTCACATTTCCATTGAGTGGCCGCCTACCTACTCTCACACCCTTCTCTCAGGTTGGCATTTTCCGGAAATCCGGCGTGAAGTCTCGGATCCAGGCCCTGCGGCACCTGAACGAAGCCTCACCGGACAACGTGAACTACGAGGGGCAATCCGCCTACGACGTGGCTGACCTTCTGAAGCAATACTTCCGTGACCTTCCGGAGCCCATTTTCACCAGCAAACTGACAGATATGTTCCTACAGATTTACCAGTGTGAGTAGGGGAAAGCATGTAGGGCAGGAATGGGAGTATGGGTTTAATCCCATTAAAGCTGGGGCTTTTTAAGTGAATGCCTCTTAGACTCAAGGGTCCTGGGTCTCCTTCACTGACCTTATGAACCAGAGAGAGAGTAAGAGAGTTGAGTTGCTAGGTTTGGTGGCTCATTTGTGACTTAGCATTTGCTTATCCTGGATACTCCTTATTACTAGCCCTCATCAGGGAACCCTGAAGCTTTGCCCCTAATATCTGGAGATGCGGGTTAGCTCCACCCCTTCCCACCTTTGCTGAGATTTCACATGGGGGGGGAGGGGGATGCACTTGGCAGACATTTGTGTTGGGAAGGAAGGCCCTTCCTTGACCTCCTCTTCCATGCAGGAGAAAGGTCTTATTGGCCAGTACCCGGGTTTTATCTTGGGCTCTCGGGCAGCCTTGGGAGAACCTTCCCGTCAACCCTCCTAATGCAAAACCCACCTCTCCTGCAGTGAGATGTTAAATGATATAAGCTGCCCTAAATCCTGTTTGAGGAGAAAGATTGGGGGTGAAAATATTTTAAATAAAAAACAAAACAAAATAAGCATCTTCCCCCCCTTTCCCTGGGGTGCACGGGAGCCCTGGAGGTCGTAGAAATGTCCCTGAGTCCCACCTGCCATGATTTTCCAAATCCCATCAACTGGGGGGGGGGAGGGGCAGAAGTCTGTGTCTCTTTCACATTGTGTTCCATCATCCCAGCACGATAAATGGCCAAGGGGGGCTTTGCCTCTTCTGGAGGGAGGAAAGGATGCAGGCCAAGCTCCAGAGGCCCACTTGTAGCAAGTCCAGTCCTGCCTGTTTTCATCCAGACCCCAGAGTCCAGCCTCTCTCGTGGCCTGGGTGGGGTGGCTGCTGCCGTTTTATCCACGCGCCGTTCACATTGTGTTCCATCATCCCAGCACGATAAATGGCCAAGGGGGGCTTTGCCTCTTCTGGAGGGAGGAAAGGATGCAGGCCAAGCTCCAGAGGCCCACTTGTAGCAAGTCCAGTCCTGCCTGTTTTCATCCAGACCCCAGAGTCCAGCCTCTCTCGTGGCCTGGGTGGGGTGGCTGCTGCCGTTTTATCCACGCGCCGTTCTTCCAACGTCTTTTCTTCCCGAACCCTTCCCAGTCGTTCCCAAAGAGCAGAGGCTCCAGGCAGTGCAAGCGGCCATCGTGCTGATGCCGGACGAGAACCGGGAGGTGCTGCAGACACTGCTCTACTTCCTCAGCGACATCGCCTCTGCCGAGGAGAACCAGATGACCTCCGGAAACCTGGCGGTGTGCCTGGCTCCGTCCCTTTTCCACCTCAACGTCTCAAAAAAGGAGAGCACCTCCCCAAGGTAAGACCAGTAGAGCCACGCTTTCGACCCCCTCCCCTCTCGGCCCTTTCGGCTTCGGTTGCCTCACTCTAGCCACGGGTCGGCCAGATCCTGGGCAGAATGCGTGCTCGGGGTTCCCGAGCAGTTGATCCCCTGCTCTTGGGCTCCACCTCTTGAGACGGCAAGGCAGGGACGGCGAGGGTAAGAGAGACGGTCTCTAGCTGGCATTTCCCAAGAGAGCGAGAGAAAGGGAGCCTATAGAGCAACTAAGATCAACATGTGCCGTGTTGCTGTTCCGTATTGCTTTCCAGGAACAAAGGCATATATTTTTTTCTGCTGGATTTATGAATCCAGAATAATAGCCAGACCACGCTGGCTGTGTGTCCCTGCTTGCTGTTACTCTGTGCAAAGGAAATCCAGAGGCCACCCAGGCAAGTTGGAGGAAAATGAAGCAGCCGAACCGACCTTCCTTCCATGTTGGCATCTCTTAAGAGCCAGGCGGCACATCTCGGTCCCTGGTCGGGCCAGCATCTCTGTGCCGTGTTCCTCCAACATGCTCCCCCATAAGAATACCAGACGGCCACCCTGGTTGCTCTAGAGCAGGTCCCCCCCGGGACCACCCAGAGGTGCTGCTGATAAAAGGGCCCCGGGAGGGGGGAAAGTGCTGTGCTGGGGGGGGTTGAAGCCGTGAGCTCCCATGGACGTTCCTCTCACTGGGCCCTCTTTCTCCATGGGGCAGGATGATGCACAAGAGGGGCCTTGCGGGAAAGCCTGACCAGAAGGACCTGAACGAAAACCTGGCTGCCACACAAGGTCTCTCCCACATGATCTCCGAGTGCAAAAAACTCTTCCAGGTACCTTTGCAATGGTGGATGGGCTGCTTGTTTTGTTCTCTCCTGTTGCCCAGTTTGGTTATTGTCCCTGTTTTAACCATGAAATAATTCTCCTGTAGTGGAGAAGGAAACTCTACCTATCATCCCACTCACTCCGGCAGGCAGATTAAAACACACACTACCATCAGAATGTGTTGAAACAGCCTTCTTGAAGTCACTTTTGAAAATGCACCCGTAAAGCGATGTCTGCTCTCACTTGGTAAAATGACTCTTGATATATAACTTCATGCCATCCTTGTTACTCAAGTGAAGTAACTAGTTACAAGTGACTGTCTTATTTGTGGGCCCTTCTTTTTAAGTTCTGGCCTGCAATTCACCCATTGGATAAAGTCAGAAGGAGCGGCTTCTGGTCTTGGGGGCCCGGGGTCTGGGACACCCACACCCCCCTCCCCATGTTCCTCTCAGCCCTTCCACTGGAACAGAGCTGACTCCCCGTTCAGAGGGTGTTCAAGAGTTTCCAAGAGTTGCCCTCTTGGCTACCCAGGGACAGGCAAGTCATGCCCAGTGCCACCAGGTCTCCAGCCTCCAGACCCAATAATAATAACAAAATTATTATTGATAACAATTATGGTGATGATGTCCGTCCGCAAGTGGTTGCTTTTTCTCTGCTGCCCTCCATTCCCTGTCCAAGGTCCAACAGGCTTGTCTAAAGCAGATTCAAATGAGCACTGAGGACATGAATGGGATTTCTAGGGACCCTTTTTGCTGGCCGTGGTGGGCGGCTGATGCCTCCCTAGCTACCCAAAGGTGCCCCTTTTGTCTCTCCAGATTCCCCACGACATGATCCTGCAGCTGTGCAACTCTTACATGGCGGCGGAAGCTCAGCCTCTCTCCTTATCCCAGCTGATGAGCCGGGGCTGGCAAGGGGAGGACCAGGGCACCCGGGACTACCTGGAGGCCAGCGTCCAAAGTTTGCTGAAGGAGTCCTCGGAGCGCTTCAAGGGTTGGCTGGCCATGGCCGGACCTCAGAAAACTGAGCTCGCCTGCAAGAAGGTAAGGGGGCTTCCAGCACCCGGCCAAGGAAGGATTCGTTGAGAAAGCAGCTTCGTGCCTGACAGGCGTGCTGCATGGAAACCAAGGAAACCAGCTCGGAGATCATCTTGGTCTTGATGTCTTCATTTCATTTTCAATTTTCTTCAAAGTCTATGATTCAAGGGTTAGCAAGGAGGACTCATCCCTGTCCTCCATCTCCTCCCCCCAAAAGTGGCCTTCCACTGGGGAAAGCAAACAAACAGAGGTGAATTATCCCTTCCTGCTTTTGGAATATGCACGACGGGCATATTGTAGATCCTATTCAGAACAGCTTCATCCGTGTGGATTTTGTCATTTGTGGGGACCCTCTTCTGAGGGGTGTCCTTTCTGAGAAAGGTTAAGCCTCTTCTGGGCTAAGGAGAAGCCGAGATGGAAGGGAACCTGAGTTGTAGGGGCTCAGAGCAGCAAAACCAGGTGGCCTGCATGAATTATGCCAGTAAGAACCGCGGTGCCTTCTTGAGGGATCAGGGTGAGGGTCAAGGTTAGCTTGGCTTCTTTAGCCAATTGTATCATGGCAGGTCTCGGAAGCGCACCCTCGCTGGCTGAGATCCAGGAGTCTATTGTTGATGGCTCATGGATGGGCTGACAGACTGAAGCCAGCAGCCAGAAACCTCTTGCCGTTCCCTCAGCTGCCGCTTCCCCCTTTTTCCATCCGCCCAGGTCGGGGACGGGCACCCCCTGCGATTGTGGAAGGTGTCTACCGAGGTTGAGGCTCCCCCACACGCCGTGCTTCAGCGGGTCCTCCGGGAGCGCCACCTTTGGGACGAGGACCTCCTGCAAGGGAACGTGGTCGAGGCCCTGGAGAAGGACACCGAGGTGTATCGCTACGTGACAGACAGCATGGCCCCCCACCCACGAAGGGAATTTGTGGTTTTCCGGTGAGAAACCCCCCCCCAAAAAAGGGATGTCCTATCTGATGTCCTATCTTTCTCCTCACTCCTTCTGTTCTTTTGCCACTTGTCCCCTTTGGCTATCACAACAGCCTCTTTCCTTTCCTTTCCTTTCCTTTCCTTTCCTTGCTTCTCTCTCTCTCTCTCTCTCTCTTTCAGCAGCATCTCTCAAATAAACTCATTTTTCCACCTCAAATTCTTCCTGATCACCTTGAACAGATTTCTTTTCACATTTTTTTTTAAAAGTCAATAGCACCCTTATAAGCTTTGGGTTGAAGGGATGCCTAACAACACCAGTTATAAAAGCATCGATGGCAATAAACGGTAACAACCTGAACAAACATTTGTTGTTTTTGTTGTGGCCCTTTGCAGGAAGTGGCACACGGATCTGCCCCGGGGGGGTTGCCTCCTTGTGTCTCTATCCCTGGACCATAAGAAGTTGCCCCTGGAAGCGGGTGTCAGAGCCGTGGTCCTCACCTCCCAGTACCTGATGGAGCCCTGTGGGATGGGGCGCTCCAAAGTGACCCACATCTGCCGTGCGGATCTCAGGTGAGGATCTCTGCCAGCCTTGGGCCCTAACGTGAGTCAGAGAGAAAGACTGATCTGTGGCCCCATTCGGCCTGTCCTCTGCCCTCCTGTGTGGGCCCTGTTCCTCTTACAGATCCTCAGGCCGGCCCAGAGAGTTCACTGGGGCTGGTGGCCACTGGGACTCACTGCCCCTTGCAAAGCCAACTCATGTTCTAGCTATGACGGGAAGGTTTCCCTACACCTGGTGTGGCTCAAGACAGATGCACATATTTCTGTACGTCATGAGACTGGAACCAGGTCATAAGGAGATGGCGAGGACATGAGAGAGAATATAATGTGACAAACCAACTATGCTTACCAGGAACTCATGTACAGTATTTGCCCCCTGCCTGCCTTTATAAGTTGTCTGGCCTCTGTTGAAGGGTCAGAGTCCAAATCCTCTCTAGCTCTCCTCTGCCCCTTCCCACCACTGCACCTGAGAGCTCAAAGGCCCCACCTTGTTCCTGCTGAAACCCGCTTGGGCCAATGTGGGCATGGCTGTATGGAAACCACCCTGTCCTTTGGAGAGGTCATTTCCTGTTCTTCTCCATTTTTAGGGGGCGATCTCCTGAATGGTACAACAAAGTCTTTGGGCATCTTTGCGCTATGGAGTTGGCCAGGATCCGAGACTCCTTCCCAGCTCTCAACCCAAGTGGTCCAGAGACCAAGATCTGAAGAGGTCCATCTTCTCCCAAGTCTGGTGCTGCTGGAGCAAGAAGTGGCCTTAGGTGCACGGAAAAGTCTTTTCCATCATCAGACCATTGGTGCCTTCCCACCCCCTACTTGCTAAGGGGCATCTGCCATGGTTCCTCTTGAGGAAATGTATGAGTTGAGTCTCCAGGTTGACTATCGAAAAGAACATCTGTGTTGTCGTTTCCTAGTTCAGCAGAACATCTCACCACTCAGACGTGACCTGGGATTCTTCTCCTTGAGGCTCCAGGGTCTCCATCCATGCCTCACCTGAAGAGGATCTTTCCAAATGGCTGCTGGGTGTGAGGGTCACCTGCTCTCTCTGCAGCGGGATGCCCTGGAAGCATGAGCAGGAGGGTGCTGTTGGGCTACCATCCTGCTTGAGGGCTTCCTTCGCCTTGTGGTATCTGTTTGGGGAGAGTCCTTCAACCATCAGGGCACATCTCATGCCGTTCTGTCCAGCAGCCACACACTCATTTCAGGGAAAAGGGGGCAGTAACAGCCCCAAATAACAGGTGATGGCATCCAGGTGAAGTAGACGAGGAGCTGTCATGAACATTGGGGTGCATGTCCTCCTCAGGTAGGAAGGGACCACATTCAACTAGTAGTGTCTCCGGTTTCAAGGGTTCTTAGACATTGATGGAAGAACATCACCAGCCAGCATAGCCAAGCCTGGGCTCCGTAGGTCAATGGTGGTCTGGTGCAGAAGGAGACCTCTGAAGAGCCATCTTTGAATAGCCAACCTTTTTGACTAGCCGGTGGCTCATCTCTTTAACCCAGCACCGGAAGTCAACTGAAGCAGCGATGGAGGTGGGGCAGGGCAGGAGGATTTAAAGATGGCCAGGGTGTCACCATGTTTGTGAACTGAAGAGTAGCAACCCAGGGGATAATGAAGGAGGTGTGGTGTGTGTAGAAAGCCTTGCAGTACATATGTGGTTTTTCCTTGCAATGTTGTCGCAAATAGCATATACGTATGTGCCTGGATGTGTGTGAGAGGGAAAGAGAGAGATTATTGGGTTATGGAGGCCCGAAGCCTGCTGTTGGTGGCTCTTACTAGCTAGTTGATCTCCAGAATTCTCCACCACTGTTACAATAGCATTTTTTCTTGCTAAATTGATTGTCTGACTTTGGCTAATACTGGCCTGTGAGTAACCCTGTTTTTTTAAAAAAAAAATCCCAAAAAACCCAAAAAACAAAAAAGGAGAGGCCTAGCTGACGAAAGGGCTGTAAGTAGAGAAAATCGTTCCTGCAAGCAAACCTGATCTGTTAGAAAAGTGTCCGAGGGGACACACCAAATGCTCTTGTCAATTCTGTGGTTTTCCTTTCTTTCCCTCTTTTAACAGAAACCATGCTTTCTGTTTGTGAGTCTGTACTGTATTATTCATGTCTTCCAGGGGACTATTCTTTTCTAATCAATATAAATGTTTCCTTTCACACCTACCTATAAATATTGTACAGTTATAATATTAATTTAATATATAACTTGGATGTGAGAGCGTGTTTTGTATTTAAGAATTCTTTTTGTACCGTACATCAAGAGGAAAGAGAAGGCCGTTCTTCTCTGTTTGTATGATATATAAAGTACTAACAGAACTGTTGGTCTAATGCACTTCTCTGTGTTTGTTTAGATATTTTTGCACACACACACACACACACATACCAGAGATTGTGAGATAATTATTGCCTTTTGTATTCCAGACACACACACACACATACCAGAGATTCTGAGATAATTATTGCCTTTTGTATTCCAGACATAAATGCTGCGACTGTAGATGCCCCGTGTTTGGTATGAGAGATGGCTGGGCCATTTTTTCACAAAGTAAGGTCAGTTTGGCTTTTGAAGGGACGGACAGGCATGAAAACCTATGTAGTTTACATGCTCTCATTTCCTGCCTGTAAACATGGCTTAAATTTACCCAGGGAGACTGTAGATGCCCCATGTTTGGTATGAGAGATGGCTGGGCCATTTGTCTCATCGTTCAATGCTTTTGGAATGGGGTGGATGAGGAACCGTACATTCAAGCCCCTAAAAGATAGAGCTATGGGGAAAGGGGTTGAGCAGGATGTGTCCTTGGGGCTTAAGGCCCCCCACCTCTGGGCTAGATGATGGTCATGGGTAGGGAATTAGCATCAATAAGAACTCTTTCTCATGTCACCATTTACTTTGGACTTTCAAGAGCTGCATTCCTTGCTTGTGGGGGTTAATGCTGATTATTCTGATTAATGCTTACTATCCCCAAGTGAGCAGTCCTGCTGGGTCCTCATCCAAAGAGGCCTCTCTCTCCCACTCCCTGTTCTTGCCCACTCCGTTTCTTCCACTTTTGAGACCGGTGGTTCCCAACCTTGAATCCCCAGAGGTTCTTGCGAGACCGGTGGTTCCCAGCCTTGGATCCCCAGAGGTTCTTGGACTGCAACTCCCAGAAGCCTTCATCCCTTTGTTGGGTTGGCCAAGATTTCTGTGAGTTGGTGGTCCAAGAACCTCTGGGGACCTCAGGTTGGGAAGGAACCGCTGTTCAAGAAGTAGAGAGACCACGTCTAGGGCAAGGAAGCCAGTTTTGGGAATCATGTGTCCTGTGGAACATCACTCCATACCTGCTCAAGGTTCAGATCCCTAGAAAGAGTCTCTTTGCTTTCTCCTGGTTGAATTATTATCTGCTGCTTCCATTGGCCATGGCCGCTTTCAATCACAGAAGAGACCGCCTTGTTCCTCAAGCAGTTTTCAAATCTGTTTACACCGAGGAGCCCTTGCTTGGTCTTCGCATTAGTGCAGTGGTGCTCAAGTGTTTCACAGAAGCTGGTCAAGGACTGTTTTTTCACAGTAGTTCTTCCATCCTGCTGTGTCTCTCTTGAGAAAACGAGGGGGACTGAATCTAAGTTCTTGCAGGTGGGGGATGGAAATGCACCTCGCGTCTGGTGCTGACCAAGTTTATTTTTGGGCTGGAGTGTCTTCTTCTTAAGCTGCAAGAAGATGGACCCAGTGGTCCTGGTTTGAAAGCCCAGTCACAGGAGAAGATGTGCGAAGACAGGTGTGGGGCAGAGCAGCAAAGTTGCAGGCACATAAGGCAAACCTTTCACGAACTTAAAATCTGGGGGTGTAAGTGCCACATGTCCCAGGAGATGATCCCTCCCCGCACTGACGAGCTGAAGAGGAAGGTGGCCCAGTCCATGGAGAAATGTGTGCACTGTTTGGCTGCTGTTCTAGAAATTCATTAGTGCTTGCAACCGGACAAAGTCGCCATGGATAAGACTGTGGGATCAGATCGACCCACGTCATTGCCTCTTCACTTTTGAGTTTCTACAAGCCACAGTGAAATCCAGGGTTTAATCCAGGTGAGGTCTGGGAGGAAGAAATGGAGATGGAAGAGCAGGGACACTGGTCCACTGATTGTACCCAAATTTTGTACTCGCTGTCAAAAGTGGGTGGAGGGGGGGGATGAGGCCATAGCTCTCTGCCCCCCTGGCCCCACATCAGATGCTGCAGTTGCTTTGCACAGAGAGCAAGGCAAAACTCCTCATTTGGGTTTCCTGCAGAGACACCCTTTTCTTCTGAAGGAACTGCTTCAGCTTCTCCTGGAAGGAGGTGCTGGTGATGGTGTAGAGGATGGGGTTCAATGTGCTGTTGATGGGTGAGATAAAGATGACCACCCAAGAGGTCGCTGTGCCTGTTCGGGAGGAGAGAAGAGGCGGTTCAGTTAATTAAGCACTTTTTCACAAATACCTGCCCTCGTTTCATCGTTCTTAAATATATACGGCACTTTTAACATAAACTTTGCAATGAATTTCAATCTGCTTTCCTTTTCTTTTTTGGAAAAAAGAAATTGCCATTATATAATAGCTGGAATCCTGTTGCCGAGCCTAGTAAGTTGCAAGTAGAGTAGTCCTGTTGCATCAATGGAATACATGGAGAGTTGATTCACCAAATCCCCACCCAAATTGCCTCTCTTGGCACTTCCATTGCTTGTTTCAAGAGAAGAGCCAGGTTCTGAGGAGCTGAGCGCTGTGAAGGATTGTACCGGGATCTGTGAACAGCAGACTCTGTCCTCAGTGGACCCTCAATCTCCACAAGAGGAACAGAAGGAAGGAGGAAGGGACTCATGCTCACCTCTCATCACTATATTTCGTATACCCATTTTAATGGTACCCAAATAAGAGATAACTCTAAGGCTTTGCATTTATTTTCTCTATTGGATGCACGTTCAGGAAGGCAAATCACCATCCTGGGGAGAACACCGTGATTTAGCATCTCATGGCAACCACATTCCCAATTCAAAAACCATTACACTGAGGCAGTGCACCTGGAATGTCTACATCCATCAGGGAAAGGAGCTTCAGCACAAAAATGGGGATCCAGCAGAGGGCGTTGGTGAAAACAATGAAGAAGAAGCGCTTGACGATGGCCACCTCCATGGAGAAGACACAGCACTCTGCCGTCCGTGTGGCGGTGACGTGGATGGAGTAGAACATGCTTGTGTAGGCAAACACAATGATGACAAAGGCCACCAGGTTCAGACCTGAAGGCGGGAAGGGAGAAAGAAGAGGCCAGATGTTCCCAAGAGCTTTTTGGAGGGAGGGAAGAGTTTTCACCCCCCCTCTACATTTTGTGAAATTCTTTGGCTAAAGTAGAAACACATCCCATAACCTACTGACATCAACTCTGCACCTGAGGGATATTAACTAGCTGTGTCTGGTGCCGTCTTTGCAGTGTTCACAACTGCTTGATTCAGTTAGAGGCTGTGCAAAGGGTATTGTTTTCTGTTACAGCTTTTGAACATCCTGCTATCTGTATAACCATGGCACCATGCAACTGTGAGAAAAGTGCATAAAATTTGTCGCCAATCCTGCTTCTGCACAAGTTAGTCTGAAGAGGTAGATTTTGAAAACCAGACAGACAACCACCATATTTGCTCCCAGAAAGCACAGCAGCAGAAGGAATGCATGTGTCCTTTTCAATAGCTCATAGCCTTCTCCGTTTAACAAATTATCCAGTATTCAAAACAGGAAGCACTGGTGTCATTATTTATGGCTTCATTTTTGCATTCACGACGGTCCATGCAAGCTCTCAGAAGGCCTCAAGGCCAAGAGCCTGGGAGCTGGACCCAGCAAAGTAGCCCACCCCTTAGCACCACCCTTAGGATGGGAAGGGGAGCATCTGGTACCTTACCCAGGAAGATCCCTGTGGAATATCCCCGGGCCACTGGGCTCTCGGCCTCGTCAGAATGGAGGGGGAAGCACACCCCGTTTCTGCCATAGTAATTCCCGAACAACTCCTTGCTTGAGAAAGGCACCACAGTGAGCAGGAAGCCGACGATCCAGAGGGTGGCCAGGGTGGAACACGCCCGCTTCTTGCTGGCCCCATAGCGGCTGAAGGGGAAGACGATGCACAGGTACTTCTCCAGGGTCATGTAGGTCAGCAGCAGGATGGAGACCTCAGAGGAGAGCATGGCCAGGGACCCCACCAGATGGCACCAGAGGCTTGCCTTCCAGGCCTGGGCGTGCTTGTTGTACTCGCCTGAAAACTTGAGGTCAAAAGCCCCCACAAAGAAGAGATAGATGCCCATCAAGCAGTCAGCACCTGGGACAGAGGCAATGGGTGCAATCAGATCACTTTCTGTCTGCGCTGACAGCAGCACCCTCGGGTTCGCTCTACTTCTGGTTCACCAGTGACTTGACAACTTATCTGGGATCACGGATCAGTTTAGCCCTGCTCCATTTCGAGTGGGCTGAAGAAACCGAGGACACAACACAGGTGGAGGGAAGGGTGGCTTTCAAGAGTCACACCTTGAAATCACCCTTTCTGTTGTGATCCAGCAAGATCTTTAGGTTGCCATCTTATCACACTCAAAGAGACACGTATTATTTCCTTCATAATCTGTTGCTCTCCTTCAGCCCAACCTCGGTTCAGAGTGCTTGATGACCATAACCAACCGCCTTCTCAATTGCACCCTAGGGACGGGTTTTTGAAAAGCATGCCCCACAAAGTGAGCCAAGAATTAAGATGCGGGAGGAATAAAACATGCTAGGCCTGTTCCTTTGTAAGATGATCATTATTGGGCATTTGGACGTCTACCTCTGTGGGGAGGCAACACCTAAAGAACCAAGCCCCTGAAGGATCCTGACATGTCTCGGCTGGAAGAGTCCTCCAGGGTCATATGACCTTGCGCTCCAGACCCCAGCAGGGAAGAAGAGTCACCCAGCCCCACAGCGCCTGGACCCGAAGAGAGTTTGGAGCCCAAGCTTGTGCATGACAAGGACAGAGGGGGCCACATCAGAAGAAGAGTCGGGGCCCCTTCCCATTCCACAAAAATGGAGGAGGGTGAAGGTACAAGACCAGTTTGAAGATTCAAGGCAAGCGACTTGCCTTCAGAGAAGGACTGCCCAGGAGAAGCAGCCTCCTCTAGAGTAAATAAGGAGTTCAAGACCACCACCAGGCCAATCCCTTCAGGCTGAATCTGAGAATGCAAGGGCTCAATTTTCTGCCCACTTGTTACAGGTTACAGAGAAGGATCAGGTCTGCACCATGCCTGGCTGGGCTGCACCACTGATCTGATATGATTTCAAGCCCCACCACCACGGAGGGAAGCTGCTGGCTTGGGTGTGGGGCGCCATGAAGCTCCTGGGATCTAGGGATGCTAAGCCGCCTTTCTCCTCCCTCCATTTCCTCCCCCTCCCTTGCTCCCTCCTCCTTGAGCTCACAGCAGAGAGACTTGATGGCGATGGTGTGTTTGGTGCTTTCATTCACAATGAAAGATCGAGTGAAGATGACAAACAGGTTCCCAAAGCAAGTGACGAAGGCGACAACCCAGACAAAGACCCTGAGGAGGAGGCTGGCCAGGAGGTTCTCGAAGGAGGATATCCCGTCCGTGTTGGGCTTGCAACTCCGGGTGCGAGGGGCGAAGCTGCAGTACTGGAACTTCTTGAAGTAACTGCCAGAGACAAGAAGGGGGGCCTTGTTGTGATGCTGCACGTTCAGTCTATCTGGAGAACCCAATGCATGGGAGGTGGTGGCTCATCTTCTATGAATCACTGTTTGGGGAATTATTTCCTTAAAGTATCCTTCTCTTTCCCCCCTTGCCCCTGATCTCACCTAACTCTCAACTGTGTCTTGCAACTGGGTTTTGGAGCGAGTTTGGGACATGCATCCTGGGGAATCCACCTGGCCCCACCCTTATCTCTGTGCAGACACAGGTAGAGCTTTAGAACACACTAGGATTCCAGATTGTCACCATCTATCTCAGACGCGGAGAGAAGGTGAGGCAGTGGCAACACAATCACACTGGGGGGGGGGGAATAAACAAACCATGAATTTTGGAGTACTACCCAAGACATGTGCACACAGGGCTTCTGGACAAGACTTAGGTTTGGTGAGATCTTTCCTCCATGTCCTTCCCCAGCTGCCTGTGTCCTGTCTGGATCTCTGTCTCTTTCCAGGTTCACTCTGAAGAGCTCTGAAGCGGCTTCCTTTGCTGCTGATTACCAGGCAGGATCTATGAGAGATCATCTTGCACCATAATGCCTGCCTGGAATCTGAGCTCATCCGTGGAGGCCCGGTGGCATGTCCTGCCTCCCCAAGAGTCTGGGCAGTGAAAAGCATGAGGCCAGGCTGTGTGTGTCACGCTGCTGATTGTGGATCTCCCTCCCAAGGCTGGCCTGCCTGGCACTCTCGCCCCAAGGAAGCCTGTTGAACTTTCAAGAGGCAACCGGAATGGAATTATTCTAAAAGGCCTTTAGTCTTAAAGATGGGTTTGAAATGGGCTTTTGGAGAATGTGTTGTTATTTTTTAAAACTCTGCTTAGATTGCATTTTTAATTATTTTGGTCCATTGGATTTTTGTGCCAGGCACAAAAATGGTAAGCCAATACTTTAGAGAGATGCAAAAATTGCAAATGATTCTGGAATTTGTGTGTGTGTGTTTTAAAAAGGTTACTTCTCCAAGCTCTGCAACATGTAGCAGATGTCACTGGAACTTTGCTTCCCTTTCAACTAATATCTGAAGCGGGAATTCAGAAGGCATGCCCAGAAAAGCGATCACAGGGTCCCTGTTTTCTCTGTCTTTCCCAGGTTCCTGCTTCAGATGCCTTGGGTGGAGACAGAATGAGGTCACCGACCCAAGGAATATGTCACAGGGGTGGAGAGGGTTACACTGAGCAGCTGCATTGCCTCTTGAGAATGCTGGAGAATGGCAGGGGTTTGTTAAAGTTAAGGCACAGCGACAGGAGGGAAAATAGGTAGCAAATGTCCACAAAGACCGCATGGCTAAACAGGGAACTTAGGATTCATGTGGCGGTTCTATGCAGCACTCCAGAACAGAATAGACGGCATTTCATTAGCCCTTGTTTCCATCCCAAATCAGAAAAACAAATACAAGCCCTTTTTCTCATAAGGCATTTAATGGCCACTGCTCAGAAGAAGGGAATTGTCATATGTTTAATAGGCAGGCAAACAAACAGTGGGGTAAGAAGAGAATGTAAGGAAAGGCTTAATAAATTGGTCCTGGCAGGGCTGTTATTCATAGTGATTGTGCAATGAAACATCCTGTCAGTTATAGTGCCGATTAAGAAGGCAGCCAAATACACATCATCTAACAGTTCACATCAGTGCAAGTATAAACCACATGGAATCCATGTGGCATCAAGACGGCAGAAATAGTTCTCCCCTATTTCTTTTTTCATGCAAAATACATGGTTCTCTGTCAACCAAATAAATTACTGCAGGAAAAAAAAGCTTCAGCATTTTTTTCCTTTTAGTAACATTTGTGAAAATGAAAAAAAAAAAAATCCACAAGAACTTTTGTAATCAGACTCAGGAAAAGAAAAATCACTTTCTCTCTTAATTTTTTTTTTCATTCTCATTTGTAAGAGTGAATGAAGGTAAGATTTCCATTCTTATGACAGCCGAACAGTAACTGCACCTGTACAAATGTTGACATTAAAGATGGGCATGAATTAAAAAATGAATCACCAAATTCATTCAAAAATTGCTACTTTGCTGATTTGCATTTGTCTGAATTCATGCCTCCTGATGAATAAGAATCAATTTTTAGTGATTTTTTATTTGTCACTTTGTTGGGCTATAAAACAGCCCTCCAGGTACCTAGAGATATCATAATTACAGGGAAGTGTCCTCTGACCCTTCTCTACAATTCTTCCAGGGTTGGTGAAGATCGTGTTTCAGATCTACAAGTTATATGCTCATGAAGAGGGCCTCCCCAGGAAAGTTGACCCCCCTCAGGTACCTAGAGACACAAAAATCAGAGAGATCCTTCCCATGACTCTCCTGTACAATCCTTCTAAGTTTGATGAAGATTGAGATTCTCCAAGCCAGCTGTTAAAGGGAGAAGATCAATTAGACAACTCTATAAAGATGTGGCTGGTGGCCCTACTTGGTCACCTTCCTTCTGTTACCTTCTCCTTCCCATTGACTTACATGTGAGACAGATTAGTGAGTTCTTCAAACATGCGGTTCTGGATGTTTGGGATCTCTAAGCCCTCCAAGCTCCTACAAAAACAACATGAAAAACAAGATGATCAAGGAGGTTCAGCCACCCCAAACGAGAAGATTAAGGAGGGGGACCTCATCCCACCCTGCTGGGATTTCTGCTGTTTGTGGAACTCACAGAGAGCGCAGATGCGGTACATGGTCAAATTCATCTGGGTAGATCTGGTCCAGAGGATTGTGTGAAATGTTCCTGCAAGGAAAAAAAAGCCATAGCATGGAAGGGGCAGGTTTTGGAGAAGACCTAACAACACTCAGCGCCAGTCAGCATTCCTCATCTCTCAAAGATGAATAATCAGTTCATTAGCACAGAGACATTATTTTATTGGCCAAAGCTGATATTTCCAAAACCTCCTTTTTCTCTTTTTTTCCTTTCTTTTCTGCTTTGGGTACTCTTGAAACACTTTCATGTGTGAGTTTAAAGGTCACAGGGATACATAAGGCATCCATAAGTCGGAATGGCAGGGAAACGAAATGGGAAAAAACATATGCTTAGATTGTTCAGCACCATCTGATTAATTACAGAAATACTTCTCAGGAATCCTGACTCTCATTTTAATGTGAGGGCAGATGGTAGTTCCACTAAGAAGAGGCCAACATCTTGTACGTACAGCTGTTGTAGCGCATGCAGGCCCCTCAAAGACGTCGGGAGAATCTCCTTAAGTTTGTTGGAAGACAAGTCACTGTTGGAAGAGAAGGAAAGAAGATGGAGGGTTATGAAGGTGGATCTGGCCCCTTGGGATTGTTCTGCCACCTATAGCAGTCTTTTTAGGGAGGGTGCACTAGAAATACTTACAGTTCCACGAGCTTTTCAAGGGCAGAGAACGTCCCATCCTCAATCCACTCAATTTTGTTCCTGTTGAGAACCCTGGAGGATTAAGGTTTGGAAAAGGTAGCTGTGTTAGCCTGGGCAAGCATATAGTTGGGTGTTGCCTGATATCCTGGAGAATTAAGGCAAATGAAAGTAAGACTCCTGCTTGCATCATCCATCCATGTCTACCTTTTTTTAAAAAAAATATGTAAATAGCTTAAAACAAACACACAACAATAACAGCAGGATCTGAAAGCTGAGAAGGAGTGTCCCAAAATGCCAGTTGCAAGCAGTTCTAAAGGATCAAACCCAGGCCCCAACCCAAAACAAGCAAGTGATCATTCTTAGGAATCCCTTGGAGTCATGAATGTTGCTCCTTGTCTTCCTCCTCCTCCAAATAAACAGATGAACTGTAAGTGGTTGGAGGGATGAAAGAAGTCAGAAGCTGATGTACAAAGCCTCGATGCGGGGGATGTATTCCGATCATAGATTTATGGAAAGACCTCTGGCTCAGATAAACAGCCAGGACAGAGGAATCCAAACCTTGGCTAGCCCCTTCTCATTATTTAGACTGCTTTGGTCCTCTAAGTTTTGGTTAATCCATCAGATTCAGCAGTGAAATTAAAAATGGGGCAATGGAGGAGAGCCATGCCCCATTCTACACGGAGCAGCCTCGTCTGCTTCATCTCCCTCGTAAAACTGTCATGGGTGCAATGTCACTGGCAGGATCTGTTTACCCTTCCCTCTTGCCTTGTTTATGCTTCCATGAGGTTGACACAGAGAGGTTTTCGGATCCAAATTTCCCATCAAAGCTCAAGAACCCGTCTTCCTGCCTTGATGTTTGCGCCACACTGATGGGAAGGAGGCTTTTGCCTTGGTTTGGCGACTCTAAAATGGACTTTGATCCCCAAATCCGCCTATTGTTCCTCTGCACATTTTGAAAGCAACACCCATATCTATGACTGGGATTAGAAGGAAGCAGGAAGAACTGAGCTGTTTTCCTTGGGCTCCCTTCTCTCCTGGCGCACTCTTTCTGGAGTGTGACAAAACCTGGAGAAATCAGGAGGTTTGTCCTGGAGAAGAGAAGCCACATGATGCCCGGCTTCAGATATCGGAGTGGTCATCTTTCTGGAAGACAGAGGAGACTTCTTTCCACTGCCCTGGAATATAAGACACATACCTGTGCCTCCAAATCACAGGAAGAAAGAGGAATTCCAAGAAAAGCTTCTTGGTGGGAAGAGCCAGGAAACAATCTACTTTGGAAAGAAGCAGAGTGGCTTTTCCTAGAGGTCTTTAAACAGAAGTTGGATGACCGTCTGTTAGAGATGCTTTGGCTGTTGATTCCTGCACGGGCAGGCCCCTCTAGATGCCCTTCGTGGTACCTCCTCACTCCGCAGTTCTAGGAGTCTGTGAATAGAGGCCCCACAACCTCGCGGTGTCTTCTCTGAAATTAACTGAAACACTTCTATTTCCACCTCTGTCCGGATGAGCTGCAACCTTGGCCGTTTAAAGTGATCACCCCCGGGTGGAAACGGGTAATCCCTGGATCTCAAGGTATCAGCCCACAGCACGTGGCAACTCATTTCAGCATGTGGCAAAAGAGCTGTAAATCTTTGCCAACCCTGGACCAGATCTTTGTAGACGTTGGTGCAACCCTGCCTTCCTTTGCTGTGGAGTAAAAGCCTCTTTAGAAATAAGCAGGGGAAGACAGCTTGAACTACACAGTCCATGCCTCACATCCTCTCTCCCGTGGAAAATTTGTAGTCGGTGTGCAGGGATAGTATACACGTGCGAAACAAGCATCCTGAGCTTTCTCTGAAGGAGGCACGACCATCATGTTAGGAAAAACAGAATCCAGGCGAGGGCTGCACATTCTCCAGAAGAACCTCTTGGCTCTGTCAGGTGCTGGAAATAAAGTTTCAATGCAGGTCCCATAAATGAAGCCATGAAAGATACTTGGAAAGACTTGGATTCAACCCAAAACAGGCGGATGGAGAGAAAATGCAGACCTCATTCCAGTGAGTTGCCATCTAACACATTAATAGCGGCTCTTTTTTCCCCTGACATTAGAAAATATGCGAGTTGGGTGGTATACTGTGGAAGGGGGAGGAGCGGTGCATCAAATGTTCCCACCACCACCACTTTTCCCTTTGCTAATCAAAAGGCCATTGGAGCTGCGATGGAGGGGCCAGTTGGCGGTTTCTGAAACTACACACCACTTGCTTTCCCAGGTGCTGATGAAGGCCCTGAGTTGTCAACCAGCACAATGGCCCTCTGCCAAGCTTGCTTGGTTGGGCCAGAGGAGATCCTTTCGGGGAGCAGAATTGGACCTAAGTACAGTCTCGATGGGTTTAGTGGAGAATCTGATCCCCAGTCATCAGTGCTCAGGCCACCAAAAGAAGAAGAAGAAGAAGAAAGTTATACGCATAAAACTGTGAGCTCACTGCATCCACGGAAATCATCACGTCGCAGAGCACGGAGCTGGTTTCCCTCCAGATCCCTGCATGGGGTAAGAAAGAGCAACAGGTAGAGGCCGTGAAGCCATCCGTCTCTCTCTAACACAGAATCGTTTCTCCTTAACCCTGAATGTGTGTGGCAAGGAAAGGCCGCACACTCAGACAGCAGGGAGCTTCACGGCATACGTCAAGGACTAAAGGCGCAGTCAGATGGCTGGAAAAGTGTGTGCCTGATCACACCAGAAAGGATCATTTTAAAGGGGCCAAAGCCGGCCCCAAATAGTAGGTATCAAAAAGGTCTGCAGTCAGATGGCTGGAAAAGTGCGTGCCTGATCACACCAGAAAGGATCATTTTAAAGGCGTCAAAGCTGGCCCCAAATAGTAGGTATCAAAAAGGTCCAAATTGGGCACAGATGAGGGTCAGGCTGGAGCATGGGTCCTCATGCATCATGGGATCATCAGGAAATAGACCCCAGAGCAGTTCAAGCTTCAAGCGATTTTCTTATGGGATCACATCCTAACCTATTTTATTTGGCATGCGCTGCTGCACACTGGAATTCCCACAGGGACAGAAAATACCCCCCCCCCCCAAAAAAGGGTCCAGTCAAGGTGTTATTTAATATCTGCCTGAATAAGGGTTAGGCTCTTTCTGGTAGATCCAGCTCTGTGGAATTCAATGGACCGTTTGGGGCCCAGATGCCTCTCCTCCCAAAGTCCAGAGGAAACGTGGGAAAAACTTACAGCCAGTTCAGTTTCGGCATCTGTGTGCACATCGAATCCGCGGGCATAGCTCTCAGGAAATTGTTATGAAGGCCCCTAGGACAGAAGCACGAGAGAGAGAGAGAGAGAGAGAGAGAGACTCATCATTGATTAGTTTAGTTAAACCAAATTAACATGATTAAAATATTTACTAATCGCTTTATGTACATATACACAGAGCACTGTGATAACCCTGCGCAACCTTTCCAATAATTAAGAGTTCTGGAAAACTTCCATGCTTGCTCATCATTGTGAAACTTAATTAAATTTAATAATAGGCTTGGCCAGCCCTCCTTCCTGGAGTTTGCACTGTTCTTCTAACAGAGGTAGTTCGAAACTACTGTACCTCTGTTTTGCTATCCATGAGGAGAGGGCCCTGACCCCGGGACAGACCTGCTCACCTTTCTTGGAAAACTTTGTGACTTCTTGCCATACAGGCAGGACTGAAAGGATGAGTCTGGTTCACATTTATTTATTTATTTACTTATGTGCTTTAAAGTGAATGTCCAACCCAAAGATTCTTCCCAGTGAAACTCTTTTTGTTTCTTTCTTTGTTTGGTGGTTTTTTCCTCTTTTTTTGAGGGGGAAACAGATGCATGCTGCACAGAGGTTTGGACAATCTCCATGTATTCCTTCCATACTTACAGAAATATGAGGGATTTGAGCCCCACGAAAACAGATGGAAGGATTTTGGTTATTTTGTTGTTATCCAGAAGTCTGGAGTGGGAAAGAGAAAAAACAGAGGTCAACATGCTGACCCAAAACAGAAGGTAAGTAAAACTATCTGGTTTATGGGAAGAGGGTTGTGGTCTAGGGCTGAGGATAACGTAGGTGGAACAACTGAGGCATCAACATTTAGAGGCCACAAAAGTCCAGAGATAAATCTGCTAGTGAGCATTAGGAAAATTAATGGCAACACCTCCTGGCCCGACACACACACACTCCTTTTTAAAAAGTGTAAATTTTCTCTTTTTTTCAGGAGGATCCCATATTCACCTCCTCCTTTTTTGTGGTGGGTGCTCCTACCCTTAAAAAGGGTCCTCCTTCCATCTTACAAACAAGTCCCTGGCTATAAACAGCCGAAGAGAACCGCGTCCATGAAGATCCTCCCATCCTCCCTTTGTGGCCAGCCACAGAAATATGAACTTACAGCCACTGGAGACTGTGCAAGTCCTGGAAGGCCTGGGGCTGCAGATCCGTGATACTGTTGGACCCGAGGTACCTGGAACGAACATACGGGGATGGGGAGGGGATGGATGTGCTCTGTTCAGTGCAATCGGGGTCCAGATCTCAGTCTCCTTCTTGACCATTCCTAGGTGAAACGGCCTCATGGAAGCATCCTTCCAGCATCTGTTCCTACCTGCCTGATTCAGGTCATCAGGTAAAATGCCTGACAAGAGTTGCTGTTGTTTTTACAGCAGACGACTCAGCTATTTTGCTGAGCTGAAAGAAAGAGACCTTGCAAAATGAAAATATGACAAAGGAACTGAGCAGCGAGGAAACATCTACCAAAGGCATGCTTACCCTCTCTTATTCTTTTACGCATCCATAACAAACATATGGCCTCTCTTATATATGTTGCGTTGCAACACACATGAAACTTGACATTAATCATTTTTAAAACAAAAAAAAATGGGAGGAAGCATGTAGCAGAGACCCACACCCTGACACCTCTCTTCATGCCAAAATCTTCCTCTTAGCCCACTATTTGGGGACACAGCACACGCTGGTCCAAGGGGATCCGTTCCCGGGGAAGGGGTGCCCAGTCTTGTCTTGTGTTTCGGGCCTCCTCAGCCCCAACCAGCGTCGCCTGCCTTCTCCATTCCTGCCCCCCCCAATTCATTTCACTCACAGCCTCCGCAGCTTGACAAGTCCAGAAAAAGTGGTGCTAGATAGGGTCTGGATCCCGTTTTCTTGCAAGAAGCTGTTAAAAGAAGACATATTGTTTAGGATGACCAACCGTGCTCAGTCATAACCTTGCTGGATTCTAGGGGGGGAACAATCACAGAACAGGAGACAGGAGACCCAGAAGGTCCTCCTTGGTACGGGCAGGTGGGTGTTGAGGCAAAGCTTCACAGTAACATATGGGCGTATTTTGTGTGTCCCCATTCGTATTGGTCCACCGCCGTGTATTTTCCTTGGAAAGTGTCATCTTGACAAAACTCTCTGTCGTGGGTCAGATTATCCTCCAGGCCTGAACCAGGCTGCTTGGTGCACCTTGGTGGCCTCAATAGGCTTGGACATGGCCATGACCTCTTTGTTAAGAAGGAGAGGGAGGAAAGAACCCCAAGTCTTCCAAAAGGCAGAGCTCGGTTCCAGATCTCCTTTCCCTTATGCATCCCCTGTTCATGGACAGAGACCAAGAACCCACCTCCCTGAGAGATACTCACAGGTACTTGAGTCCACTGTATGCGAGAAACTGGTAGTCCAGTAGTGAAGAGATCCTGTTTTTCTTCAGGTCACTGCAAACAGAAGGAATGAAGAGAGGAAGGCCAGCCTTCGGTAGCTGATGGCTGCATCTCACAACAAGATGGATAATTGACTGACAAGTTGATTGAGATTTATGGTGCCCCTCCCAGGGTTTTGTAACTATCGATTACTCAGGAGTGATCTACCAGTCATTCCCTCCCTTGCCTGGTGCTCTGGAGCCTTGCTGGAGCCCACCAAGATGGGAAGGGCATGTAAGCCCATCAGCCACACACACTGTCTCTGGGTGATTGTGGCTGGCCCTCTTCATGATGGGTCTAGTGCAGAGTCAAACCACTAGCTCAGCACCCCAGGCTCTCCAACCTGCTGAGCTAGACCAGCAGTAAACTAGGATTTGGATCTGGACACAGATCTCCATGTAAAGCTACAGCTCTCTCAGGAGCATTTCTAGGTGTCATATACATTCAGCCTGCTTCATTTGGTATTTATATTTTGGATGTGCCCCTGAAATACGTAGACAAGATACCCAGAGGATGCTTCTGCACCATCCGAGTCCGAATCGATCCTTAAGCAGCATGAGATTATCCAGTATGGAAGACAGAATATTTTGGATGTGCCCCTGAAGTACGTAGACAAGATACCCAGAGGATGGTTTTGCACCACCCAAGTCCAAATCAATCCTTAAGCATGAGATTATCCAGTATGGAAGACAGATCAGGTTGCAGGGAAGTGGTTTTTGAGAGAAGTATGGGCTTCATTGCCAAAACGTGAATATCTTAGTGACACTGCTGGATTCAGAAAAGCCACCAGTGCCATTCCAGAGCCCTAATCTGGCCAAAGCAGAGCACTTCCAGTTTGTATAGATTTCAAGGGTACAGTCGACCTCATCCTGTTTCATTTCTTAACAGCTCCCAGAAGACTCTTCTCCTGTGCAGCTGAGATGGCCACCCACAGTTTAAACTTCCAGATCTTATTTAAAATAATCAACCGCCTTCTGAACACAGGTCCTCATCTCCTGATCTGTGGCCGGCCACCCTAGCCCTAGATGGCATTAATGCCTCGCTGATGGAATATCTGAGCTCTTCTGGTGTCTGTTTTGGCTGCGCTTGGCCTTACAGGGGAGGCAGGGGCCTGGGGCTCTCCAATACTCACAGCTCGGTCACGTTGGATAAACCCTGGGGCACCGAGAGGAGGTCCTGGCTTTGACAGCGCACAGCAGTCCCTGAGCACATGCATTCGGTTGGGTACCAGCTGAGGGCTAAGAGGAAAGACAGAGCGACTGGTCAGAAAGAGAGACTTGTGCCAGGCGTCTGGGAAAGCAAGCGGATAAAGGCAACGGTCAAGAGAAACCATTCATGCAACCCTTCCGCTTGTGATCTGGAGAATGAAGGGCAAGCCAAGATCTCTGTCCCTTCTATTTCATGGATCCCCCTTCCTGGCCAGCAATCTGGAGAGTAAGATGGGTGATCAGGAAGCTTCACAGAGGAGGCGGTGAAATGTCAGTCCCTCCAGAGATGCATTTTCAGAGCCCCAGAGTATTTCAAAATCAACACGTAAACAGAGCCTGCTGTTTCTTCCTGATGATGACCAATTGCCAAAAAGGAGGGGAAAGAGAAGCTAAATGACATCTTCCAAAGGTGTGAAGGACCTGAGGGGATAATCATACATGATGCACTGCTGAAGCCAGCTCTGCTTCTAGTTGTGAAGGTGCCCACTGGTTTCTTCTGACCTGCTAGGAGCTCTCCCACATGTGTGCCATTTGGTTGTGTCCTAAAAAATGGTATTACTGAGAAAGTCGGGCTGTGGTTCAGTAGCTCACGCCTACTCTATTTACAGCCACAAGTAAATATGATTGTTTTGCAAAAGTAGGCCTTTCTGTCTCCCTTCAGCAGCGGCTTTTATTCTCTGTTGGAGCTGAATGTCGGCCACTTCTTTTCAAAAGCAAAGTACCGTTCTTGTGGGTTGTTCACACATGCACAAGGAAAAAACAACATAGAAAGAGAGGCCCTGGAACAGCAGTGACAAAACACTTTGCACACACCTATTTTGAGTAGAATACCAGAGTTTTTAAAACATGTTTTTATGGACAAAATGCAAAGGGGAAAGAAATTAGTTTTCTTCAAATGCTGCTGGTGAGCAAAAGCAAACCCTAGGTGTCTTCACTGTTGAGTAAAATCTTGATGGGGTGTCTCGGTGCCTTGTTTTCATTGCTGACAAGAAAATTTGTGGGCATCATTACACCCTTAATTGGAGTGAGCTATCACACCATGCTGCATAATGTTTGACTCTCTGTGGTAGCAACCCAGAAGTATTTGTGGAATGGAATTAAGAGTTTACCTCTTCTAGTATGATCATTCCTTATTCCAATCCAGACTAATCATCTCTTAAGATGCCTCCTAATTTTGTTTAGTTTCATCTAGCTTTTTGTTTCTGCCATCAGCCCTCTTCACTTCCATCCTCATCACTGCTGCCCTTTCTTTGACGCGGGTGCCAGCTGTCAATGAATCAGAGGAGATGTTCCTAAGTGCTGTCTTTCCTTCAACCCCTCCCTGCACCTCTCTGGAAGGAAATGTGCTGCAACCTCTCCAGTGGGATGTCTCGGGGAGCCTGGCTCTCATTCCTGCTTCCCTGCATCGCTCTAAGGACATTGCATGCCATGAAGATCCACGTATACACCTGCACATGGTTCAGGCTTAGGGTAACATGATGTGTGATGAGGTCTTCGTTGATCTAAGCATGCCGTTTTGCCAAAAAAGACACACAAGCAAAGCACTTGGTGGACCTTTGTCTCCTGCCAAAGACTACGGTGGTTGTTGCTTGAAAAGAAAGACTCTCCGTGACAGCCCAGGCTACGGGCAGGGACATGAAAGGCATGCTTAAGGGGACAAAGCGCACGGCTGCAAAAACGTACTCACTGCAGTTGGTTTTGTCCTTTCTGGTCCTGTTGCCACTGCCGAGGAGCCTTTCATGCAAGAGGATGGGCCACCCAATGTCATTCACTACGAGAGAGGATTCGCGTTCGGTTACATGGATTTCGTGCGCCTGAGAGCCCTCTCCCTGCTTGACACTTAGTCGTATGAGCCATTGGGATCGGGACCAGGAGCTGGGGCTGGCACGCCGGAGCAGGACTAGGGAGAGCCACGTTCTCCTTCTCAGGCAGCCACAAAGACCCAAGAGCCCTAGGTGTCCCTTTCAGGAAGCCGCCCTACCCACAGGTCTTTGGGTTGATCTTCTCTTTCTTCTTCAAGTCTTGCGTCGCTACACTGTGCCTTGGAGGAAACTCCACCTCATTTTGAATACAGGGCACAAAAGCAGAACAGGGCAGCATTTGCCCTTGTGAGACCCCCCACCCCATTTCCCCCCACAAAATGGAAAGGTCTGTGGCCCCTCAAACAAAGAGACCTGAATTGCAGTGTAATAATAATAACGAAGTTACCACAGTTGTCCTCATCAGCTCCATCACTGCAGTCCTGCACCCCGTTGCAGTGTAGATGCTGGGGTAAGCAGGCGGTCCCGTTGTTGCATGGGAAGGTCCCCAAGGAGCAGTTGCCGTGGGTCAGGCCGGGATCAAGCAAGCAACCTAGCAAATGGAAAATACGAAGACAGCAAAGGAATGATATTATTGCTGCCCCCAAATATTTCATCTATGTCCCCTGGATATAACAGGAGAACTTCTAGTAACCATGGGGGCAGGCATCAGGAATGGCCTTGGTCAACATTTTCAGGGGTCCAGAGATCTTGCAGAAAGCCATCACAGAGATAGGTTTGATCTTCCAAAAAAATAAGTTAGGACTTTGAATTTACTTTCTGTGAATTTAATTCTGTCCCTCAGGAAAAAAAGGGGGGGCAATCTATCTGCAGTGGCCTAAGAAACAGAATACAAACCTTAAAAAATACATCTGTAATAAAAAATGAACAAATGGCAAATGCCACTTTCGCCGAAGATTATCAAAGGTTGCCAGCCGAATCTTTCTATTGCTTCCAAAGTGTGTGTGTGTGTATGTGTGTGTTAGAATTAAATAGTGCACAGGTGGTTTTGGCTGCCCAAATGACCTCTCCTTGTCTATTTTGTTTCACTTGATCTTCTATTGTGATCAACAAAGGTGATTTTTTCCTTCGCTTCTCCCCCCCCGCGCGCTGCCTACTCTTGCAGCTGCTGCACCAGAGTGCATGCACCTGCTTTCCCACCCATGTGCTCTCAAGACAACATCCCTGTAATGCAGACCTCCAGAAGCTGGTAGGGTGGGTGGAGAAGAGAAACTCGAGCCCATCACCCAAGCTAAAGGACACCGAGAGGGGTGAAAGGAAGACAGTGAGGCATCAGGGATATTGCGATGTGCTGTCAGGTTGCTTCTGATTTATGGCAACCTGATGAAGGAGTTTTGCCAACAGCCTAACAGGGACAGTAGCCAGAGATTATAGGTTGGTACACAGAGATCATTGAAGCAGCTGAGTTCAGGTGGAGATGAAGAGCTAGCTGGGACCGTTCTAGCTGCCAAGGTGCACCTGGGAGCAGGGATGAAAGGAAACCAGCTTCTTATATTCTTTAAACAAACCATAGTTTAGTGTTGCATTGTGTTCAGTGAGATGGAGAAGCAGTAATCTCTCTTGGGGGTGAATCGCACACCATGAGCAAACGGCGTGGGCATTGTGAAGCGAAAACAGAGGGGAAAGGGTGTAATTTGGGATGTCAGGAGGCTTTCTGGCCCCCTAGCGATTTGCCACACATGACTGACAGGCTGAGGTCAGCATCCGTGGAACCCGAATAGCAGCAAAAGGTAGATGTCAGCCCAGCCTTTGTAGATCATGGAAAGGGCTTGTGGAGCTCAGCAAATACCTGGGATCATAATTAAGGTGGGAGAGAGAGAGAAAAAAACATCCACTAAATTGACCAAAGTCTCCCTGCTGTGAATCTTTCCTAGCTGCAGGTAGGACATTTTTCCACATTTACTCTAAATTATGACCCAGCAGTCCAGCAGCTTGGTCAATCTCTCTTAGGGAGAGCTGGAAATAAACATCAAAATTCTTCAGCTGCCCTGAGAGGTCAAAAGCTCCCTCCCACCCGTTCCTTTCAGATTTACTGATGTTTGTATCTGGAATTTTTTTGTTCTTGGTTCTTGTGTGGAAAGGAGGGACACGGAGAGTTCAGGTCCTAAATCCCAGTTAAATCTACAGGAGTTAAATCAACTTAATGCAAACCACTTAAACTATTTGGAACAAGTGTCTGGTTCTCACTCCAGTTAATTGTTCTCCAAATGCTGGAGCTGACCCATAAGCACTGGAAGGCTGGACCATAAAGAACCGTGAAGTCACCCTCTGAGCATCTTTCTCCGGCCATTTCTATATTTAAAGGAACCATTCCAGGCCTTTTGTCCAGAAACGCTTCCAAAGTGGCCTCAGGAAGGCTCATGTCCCTCAACATCTTCTCGAGCTGACAATCTGCTAGAAGAAGGGTGCAAATTGAATAAGGAGGCACAAGAGACATGACATGCAATGGATGGGAGTCGAGGAAAAACGAACCCCTGGGCATATCATGAGTGGAGATGGTTCAGGAGGCCTGCAGGAAAATGCTCTACCTGAGGGGGTGATTTGGTTGGGGTGGGAAGGGGAGAGTACCTAAGAAACCAGGGTGCCCAGGAAACATAGGAAGACTTCTGGGGATGGTTGGGCATCAGAAGGGTTGCAAGACTTCCAGGCACCTTGGCTGTGCATTAAGCAGAAGCTGGAGGGATAATAAGGAGGGGTTTGGGGCAAAAGGCAGGGAGGCTCATAGGTCTTCATACAGTTTTAAAGCAGACTTTGGTCACCCTCGGCTATGTGAAAGAGCACCAAGATCTGCACAAAGAATTCAAACGACTGGTGCTTTTCTGCTCTCTCTCTCAGGGCTGTCTCTCCCACACATCAGGGTCTGCATTGACCCCCATTTTAAAAAAAAAGGGGGGGAAATGACACCAAAAACAGAAGAAGAAAAAACCATGCAGTTCATTCACCCATTCCCTCGGGAGCCATAAAATTCATTCTTTGCATCCTTCTGCTACAACAGAAGCCAGCAGAAGGCTAACGTGGCAGGTTCCCCTGAAAATGATGGCTGAAATCTGGGTCGCACACCGTGCGAAGAAAAGGCCGGTTGTTACTAGGTGTTGTCACATTGCTTCTGGCTTATGTTGGCCCAGAAGAGTTGGTGAAGTTTGAGAGACGTCTAAGGAGTGGTTTGCCATGGCTACACATCCACCCCAATTCTGCAATGGAATTGGGATTCGAACCCAGGCCTTCTAAGTCCCAGCTCGGCTCCCCGTCCCCTAAAATACACTGGCTCGACCAAACCTAACACTGATGTCAGCCACCTGCTAGAGCAGCAGTCAAGTGTGAGATGGACAGACCTGTGACTAACAGCATGAGTGTGATCTGGACTTCTTGAGCGATGCCACATGTGGGATCAGTTTTTGCCACTGACGGCTGGACTGATTCCACTTTATAGCCTTCCTTTAGGACTCAGGGTTATAGATAATAATACTGAATGAAAGAACAGTCAGAATGGAAAAGGCAGAATCAAACAATTGAAGTGGCGGTATAAATGTCCACCTATGTCTTTCATCTTCGTACATCTTCATTTGGACACATAAGAGAAGGGTGGACAGAGCAACTAAAAGACACCGATGAATCCAGGTGCAACATGAGTTACAAAACAGCATGGACACTTTGCTTCCCTCTCCCTCTCTTCTAATTTAAAGAAAACACAAAAGCCTAGACTAGATGCAGGATAAATGAGACACCTGAGCGCTTAGCAGACATGCACAAGAATACAGTTTAGCTTGACAGAATATTTCCCACCCACCGTCTGATCTGCAGAGATTCAGCACTACCTTTTTTCATGGTGCATCTCTGTAACGGTCTCGACATTCTGACCTTTATAAATTGAGAACAAGAGGGAGGAAGGAGAGAATTTAAAATCAGCTTACTTCTTGTAACCATCTGGAGAACCAGCAGAAACAACTTCATCAAAATCATAGCCTTCAAAACTCAGCCGTCTTCGGAAGGATAATCCCCGAGAGTTGGGTTGTCAAAAGTTGGCAGTCAATGATAAGCAGCTCTAAACGCTCTCCGTGGTTAAGCCCGCCAACTTGGTATGCTATCTTCTATGCCAAAAAAAGAAGAAGAAGAGGTGCTGCGTGGCTTATTAAGTATTTCCAAGGTGAATGGTTGCTCAAGAATGGAGTCTTCTAATCCCAGAAGATTCACAGTCTCTTGAATACCATCCGCCCGATGAGATCTCCTTGCTTGGTGATCCTTCTCCGGAGGAGAGCTTCAGAAGTGGTAGCTTGTCCACACAAGTGTCTTCCAAGGGAGTGAAAAGGGGACCTAGGGATGGTCCAGAAAAGGGAGGAGATTACAAGGATTATTTTAGAGCCGGAAAAGCCCCTTCCACACCTGCTTTCTGCTGGGATTGGTTGAGTCCTGCGTCAGCTCCAGTGTCTCCCTGCAGACACTTTGGTCATATGACAAGGAGGGAGAAGATTCCCAGTTCAGCTTTCCTTCCCTCATAGCCCAAGGGAATCTGGCCTCATTGCTGTGTTTAAGGCTCCTCAAATGTAAACAGACCTTAGAAGGTCCCCTTGTAGCTTCCAGATGTAAACAGCAACATCTGCCACAGGGGATGGCAGTAGGTGGAGTGCTCACAGAAGAAGTAATGAACTTTGAAACCCTCAGGGCAGCTGTTTCCTTTGGCATGTGGTCACAGATCCCTTTAAAGTGGTCACCCTCCAGAACTGCAATCAGCACCTTGTCAGTTAGCAGATATTTGCCACCCTATTTCATTTAAACAACATAACACCCCTTTTGGATTCTAGCCAATGAATGGTAATTTAGGGTCTATCCAAAGAAGGCATGGTACTAGTTAAACAACAGCAATGCATTATTTGAAAACTACCTCCCTTAAAAAAGAAAACTTAATCTCCTCCCCACTTCATATACTCTATACTCTGGCCAACAGGCTGTTGATGCTGATTTACCAATATGGCTAAAATCAAACAAATACTTTGGCCCAAATCTTAGAAACCCATTGAATTCATGGCTGAATGCTAAGTTAACCCTTTCAGACATCCAGCTGAGTCAATGGGTCTATTCTACTTGAGACTAGCAACAGACTAGCAACCCACCCACAAAATACTTTAATGGGGTTTTCTTTTATCCTGCTGACAGGATGAATTATTCCAAGCGTGGGATGATGAAATGAAAATGGGATGTGACAGCCAAACAGACACAGCTGGAGAAGGATTCTTTTAGGACTGCCAATCAGCTAACCCATGCAGGTGGATTTGTGGATACATGCCATTTATCATCCAGCGGAGAAGAAAATCTTGTACTGGTGAAGTCGCTTGATCTCTTGCATCGAATCTCTGCCTGCTGTGTTGATCAGACCAAACCATTCTAAAGCTGTTTCATTTCACCACCTTGGTTTCTTATTAGTTTATTTCTTTTATTCAAGATGTTTTTGCAACACAAATTGAAGTTTTGCTCTGTGGATGCCAACCATTTACATCCTCTGGTATGGAAGACTACGCCTAAAATTATTTTGGTGCA